TTGGTCCAGTTGTGAGGATTTTCATTTTCTTTACTGCACATCTACCCAATCCACCATCTTGTTTGTTCTTTACATGACCTTAACATTTGTAGTGAGTAAAGGGACAGTTGTTTTCTACAAGCTACCTTAAGTTGGCCATGTTTGGTGTTACCTTAAGATTTGATTCAGGTATGCATTTCTGGCCAGAATATATCATGGAAGTAATGTTGTGTCCTCTTCAGTGTACTACAGCAGGAGTCACATGATGTCTGTTTGCTCCATTTCTTGTAATGTTGACTTTGCTTACTTGGTTTTGGTGTGTTCTTTGAACTTTTTCTACTACAATGTTACTATCGTTCCCTTCTTAATTGATAAGCAACTTATAAGGAGATACTTTGAGATTAAGTAAATGTTCCATTTTTCATCAGACGTTCACTGAATAGTTTTAGCACCTACTAATGATTCTTATTGGGGTCAGTTAGTTCTATGATCTAGCCAAATGATGATTTTTCTAACGACATCATCCAGTCTACATTTATTAGTTGCCATTCTACTGTAAGGAAGCTCTGTACTCTCCGACTCATATTTATAGTGGAATGGTCTCAGGGGTCATTTGTTCATGGATTCTTAACTGTCTGAGGTTTCATCAGTGGGAGCTCTTGTAAGCTGACTGCTGTGTCCTTTAGATAGGTCCAGATAAGTTTTTGTGCTCTTGGTTCTGCTTTGATCCTCATATGTGCTCTGCAGTTACATGGATCAAATGGTGCGCTGCTACCAACCACTACAGTGGAGGGGGTGAGACCCCACGGTGTCTTTGTTGGTGGGAAATAATTCGGCGAATGAATTCACGGAGACTCTCTTTCCATCCAAAGATGTCTCTCTTTGTTGCTCTAAGACCACAGTTTTTATATCGTTTTACTACTTACATAAGTGTTTAATCAATGCTAGTTTCAGAAAATCAGTAATTATTTTCTTTACAACAATAGTCAGGGGATGTGCGTAATCACAGTTTCTTTGAAATATATCAGAAACTTTTAGTTCTATAGTCAAACATCTACATTTAATGATTCTTCTACCATACACTGTTAAGACTACTTATGCTTCACTAGCTACAATAATTGCTTTATTGTGAGGGAAAGGAAAGGACGTAAGTGTGATCACAACATTCTTTTTATTATCTGATTTCAATATATACTATCATAATGTTTCAAGGTAATCATATGTTCCTATGTGATCTTTTCTTATATCCTGTTTTTCTAACTCCTAGTGTTCTAACTATTATCTTCAGTATTGTGTGTGAGTGTTAAGTTAACAATTTATTTCAAACAGGTGAATGCATTGTGGCCAAAATGCTCTGTCAAACATTACCTAAATGTGAATTCTACACAGCTAATTGTAACCTCTATTCTTCTGCCAACTTCTCAGAGCACGACTTTATTAAAACAGGGGTTGGGTATGATTATTAAAACAACATCATTTAGGGGTCTACTATGGAAGCACAAGAAAAACACACATATATATAGATTAAAGCAAGAAATTTAAAGGCTGACTATAAATCTAGCTGGAACAACTCCGAGGGGCTTGCTCCCTTTGAAGCCAATGCCTCCAATCACGGCAGATTCCTTTGGAGTGGGCGTGACAGTGCGCCCTCCCCTATTCTTCCCCTGTAACCTGTTTTAGAACTGTTGTCTGGGACAGAAGGGAAGCACTGACTAGGAGGCACCTAATAGGGACCAGTGTGGGCCCTGGCACCTGCCTCTGAAGGCCCTGAATATCAGCAGCTCTGGGAAGGGACTAGAGCAAGGAGGTTAGTGGGCACTGGAGGTAACTAGGGCATGCAACTAGTATGGAAGTTCCCAGGCTCCAGAACATTTCAGAATGTAAGAGGACATCATTTTACTCTGAGCTGCTCAGCCTCTGTAGTCCTAAGGTGGTTCTGTTCATAGCATTCAAGTTGATGTTGTTGTTGGATGCCTTTGAGTTGATTCCGACTCATAGTGACCCTATGTATAAGAGAACGAAATATGGCCAGGTCCTGTGCAATCAATCCTCACAATTGTTGTCATGTTTGAGCCCATTGTTGTTGCCACTGTGTCTGTTTATCTCATCGAGGGTCTTCTTCTTTTTCACTGGTCCTTCACTTTACTAAGCATCGTGTCCTTCTACGGGGAGTGGTGCTTCCTGACAACACATTCAAAGTGAGAGAGACGAAATCTGTTTATCCTGGCTTCTAAGGAGCATTCTGGTTGTACTTCTTGCAACACAGATGCGTTTGTTCTTCTGACAGTTCATGGTAGTTTCAATATTCCTTGTCAACACCACAGTTCAAATATATTGGCTCTTCTACTCTCTTCCTTATTCATTGTCCAGCTTTTACATGCATTTGAGGTGACTGGAAATAACCATGGGTTGGTCTAGGCACATCTTAGTCCTCAAAGTGGCATCTTCCTCTTTAATCCTTTACAGAGCTCTTTTGCCTAATGCATTATGTCATTTGGTTTCTTGGACTGCTGCTTCCATGAGCATTGATTGTGATCTCCAAGGAAAATGAAGTCTTTGTGACAACTGCTACCTTTTCTCTGCTTCTCATGATGTTATTTATTGGTCCAGTTGTGAGGATTTTCATTTTCTTTACATTGAGATGCAATCCATGCTGAAGGCTGCAGTCTTGGATCTTTATCAGTATGTCCTTCAACTCCTCTTATGTTTAACTGTTTTTTCCATAGATGGTGTTTTTGTTCTTACTGTAACAAAAACAGTATATTATGATATTTTCTGGTAGTTTTGGAGAAGGGGTGTTCCCCACCCCTTAATTTTCACAAAAGCACCTCGTAGTTAAGCAGTGTTTCTGTTGCAGACTCATCCTAGGATGTTGCTGTTGTTATGTGCCATTGAGGCAGTTTTGACTCATAGCGACCCTGTATAGGATTTCCAAGGAGTGGCTGGTGGTTTTGAACCATCAACCTTGTGGTTAAGAGTCCAGTGCTGACTCTACAGCACCACACCTAGGGTAGGGGGTGGTATGTCAGGGAGCCTGAGACCTTAGCTTCTAGCCAACTGTACTCTTCCTGCCCCTGCCCTGTAGCCGTTGTGACACTTATTGAGAACAAGAAAGATAACTCTGTGCTGGCAGAGACCACATTGCACAGATGGCGGGTCCCTGGCTGCCGGACTTCTGATAGCTCTTACAACAGCTTGTACTCCACATGTCTGGAGCTGTTCAAGTTCACCATTGGTATGGGTGACCTGGAGTTCACTGAAAACTACGAATTCAAGCCTGTCTTCATCATCCTGCTGCTGGCCTATGTGATTCTCACCTACATCCTGCTGCTCAACATGCTGATTGCCCTCATGGGAGAGACTGTCAACAAGATCTCACAGGAGAGCAAGAACATCTGGAAGCTTCAGGTGGGTTGATTAGTGGGGTGTGTTCACAGTCAAGAGGATACCAGCTATTCTGTCTACTGCTTTATACAGTTGGGCATATGAGCCCATGCAGAATTTGAGGAAGGGCAGAAAGCCCAGCTAGGCAGGTAAAACCCAGACAGCAACATCTTCCTAGTTTACTCCTCTCTGGCTCCTCTTGCAGGGTTTCCTTGCTGAGTCTCACTTGCGCTTTGCTATAGTGCCAGATTCGTTCAGCTAGTATTCACTGTTTGTCCACTGAATGAACAGTGTTGGAGGGAGGGAGACAGAGGACTGTGCCCCATGGGATGCCCATCTCAGAGGAACTTGATCAATGCTGGGGACCACAAACCAGACTCAGAAGGAACAGTTATTATGGACTGGTTACCTGAGAGTTCTTTTCCTGAGCTACCACCTGTTCTAGAACTCTCTTCCCAGCTACTCCTACTGAAAGTATCATTATATTTGTTATTGTTAGTAGCTATTGAGTTGACTCCAGCTCATGGTGACCCCATGTACAACAGAAGAAAACCTTGTCTGGTTCTGTACCATATTCATGATTGTTGGTGTGCTTAAGTTTATTGTGTGTATTTTGAATGCCTTCTGACTTAATATGGAAGCTCGATTAAAACCTGTCGACCATGGAAGACCCTATTGGTATTTGAAATACCAGTAGCATAGTTTTCAGCATCATAGCAAACTACAAGCTACCACAGTATAACAAACTGTTCCAGGTGTCATTGTTGAGGATCCAATATCATTGGGTCCTCTCAACAATCCTAATGTTGTCAGTTGCCACTGAGTTGGCTGTGACTCATGGCAACCTTATGTATAACAGAATGAAACATAGCCCATTTTGCACCATCTTCATGATTGGTGCTTTGTTTGCATTCATTGTTGAGGCTGTTTTGCCATTTTAACACACTGAAGAGTTCTTTCATTCTTGTTGGCCCTCTATCTTACCAAACACGATGTCCTTGTGTGATGACTGGATCTCCATTTTTTGATGAAGGCACAGAGAATTTAGGTATCTGTATCCAAGATCACACAGCTAGTGAGGAGCAAAGTCAGGATGAAAACCAGGCGGTCTTACTGCCAAGGCCTTTCTCTCAACAACTACATTGTGCTGCTCTTTCATGAAGGCCTAGAGAAGGGTCTAGAGTCTTGGTGTGGTGCTCTAAGATAAGCACTCAACCTTAAGGTCAGTATGAACCACAAGGTCTGTGGTTCAATCTCACCAGCTGCTTCTTAAAAAACCTATACAGGGTCGCTGTGAGTTGGGGCTGATACAATGGCACTTAATAACAACAGCAACAAGGAGGGGTCTGGAGTTGGTTACACCATGTTGTTTATGGAGCTGCCCTGCCCAGACCCAGTAGGCACCATCAGTGTCTGAGAAGGTCTGGAGATGAACTGGCTGATCTCCTTCCATGGGCTATGCACCAGGTGGGCTGTAGGACCAAGCCCTGGAGTCTGGTTCAGAAGCAGCTGGGACTGGGGGAGACCTTGGAGAAACTGATCTTGCTAGCTAGCAGGGGCAGCCAGAGGCAAGCCCTGGATAAGCCCTTTACTGCTCTGCCCTTTATCTGTGTCTTCCCACAGAGAGCCATTACCATCTTGGACACGGAGAAGAGCTTCCTTAAATGTATGAGGAAAGCCTTCCGCTCAGGCAAGCTGCTGCAGGTGGGGTACACACCAGATGGCAAGGATGACTACAGGTGGTGTTTCAGGTATTGCCCAAATAGGAAACAGCATGGGAGCTCTGGGCCTCAACTGTGGGTATGGGTTCCCACCTACAGCCACCCATAGGCACAGAGGCTGTGACTATGTGGACTTACCTGGAGTCAGCTGGGGTTCTAGGGACCATATAGGGCATAGTTGTGAGCATAAGAGGACCCTCCAGGTCCAGCTGTGGCTATAGTAGCTGCTCTAGAGCTCAGCTGTGGGCATAGGCAACCCATCTTAGATCTCAGCTGCTTGGACCAAGGCACGAAACAGTAGAAAATCTGAGGGATTCAAGAGTCACGATGTGATCAAAGTCAGAACCAGGATTCCTGTCTAGATCAGTGTAACTCCTCGCTAATGTTTACAGTCACTGGGTCCCATGCTATGGTCAGAGAATACATCTTCAAGGGTGCTATCTTTCTCTGACTTCCCCTGACGGGCGCTGCCTTCATCTTGATCTATTTATTGGCTTCTTGGTATTGATTTGAAGGGTCAAACCTTTGGCCTGGGAAGTCATGGCTTGTAGGTTGTGAACTCCCCACTCCCGTATCACCCATCTTGTAGGGTGGCGGATGTGAACTGGACCACCTGGAACACCAATGTAGGCATCATCAACGAGGACCCGGGCAACTGCAAGGGCATTAAGCGCACTCTGAGCTTCTCCCTGCGGCCAAACAGAGGTGAGGGTTGAGAAGAGGGGCACTGTGGCATGGATGGGCCTACTTGGCTGGTGACCTGAAGTTGGGTAGGTAAAACCCTGGGGGTCCTCCACTCTTTGCAGACCTTCCTCATCACCACAGAACCTGAGCACTGTACACATCATGTCTTAATTGCCTAATGCTGTGTAACTGAAAGTACCACAAGTGTTTGGGTGCCTTTAAAAAGAACAGAAATTTATTTTCTCATACTTTTGGAAACTAGAAGTTTGAATTCAGAGTGCTGGTAGGGCTAGGCTCTCTCTCTCTTTATTTCTCCACTATGTAGGCAAATTCTTGTCCCTCTCTCTGTTTCTCTCTCTTGACTCTAGAAGAAGATCCTAGACTCTTTCAGCTTCTGTAGCTCGGGGCATTCTGTGGCTTTGATTGACTCCTAGAGGAATCTTCACACAAATCAGAAGAGACTAACTAGGCTTAGGACCCATCCTAATCTGGTATGATTGTATTAACATAATAAAAGAAAACCCCAACTTCTAAGCAGAGTCATATTTACAGGTACATAACTCTTCAGAACACAGTTCAATCCATAACAAGCACCAAATATCTACCATATGTCTGCACTCTGTCATGGGTATTTTGTATGCTCTTACACACGTCTGCATAACTGACCATTCCATATGCTCATGCAAGCCAGCTCTGCCCAGCACCCCTGACCCACGCACCTGTTCTCAGTGCTCCAGAGGAAGTAGCTTGCCCTACATTCAGCCACCTGGGGTGGACAGTCTTCTTGTGGGCTCTGCTGCCTCCTCTTCTTTGTCCCTCCCTGTCCCCATGCCTACATTCATACGTCTGTGAGGCTATCTGAATACAAACAGGTACACGTAAACACTTATGTGTGCACTCCAGGCAAGCAAGAGAGGAAGCAAAAAAGGAGAGTGGAGGTTACGTTTTGAGTAGCACAACTTTGAAGACAGTTACTTCAGAAAAAAAAAAATCATTTAGCAATAAATAGTAAACACTTCCAGTATGGCATAATAGGATAAACACTGGACTGCTAACCAAAGGTTGGTGCCTTAAACCTACCAACTGCTACTTGGAAACCCTATACAGGGTCGCTATGAGTTGGAATCAACTCGATAGGAATTGACAACAACAACAGTAATTATTTAACAGCAGACAGTAAATTAAAGATCTAATTGATGACCTTAAATTTTACCTTAAAGATGAAGCAAAAATAGTTTATATTTAACAAGTTTTGAGCTATAATGATACCTTTTCGCTAATTTTTTAAAAAAGCTTTTATTGTGAATTGAATGAAAGTTTACAGGGCACATCATCAGTTTTACATTCAACAAATCGTATACAATGTTTCTTTACAATGATTATAATCCCCTCCACGATCCACAGCGAGATGGATTGGCCAAATGGCAGCATCGATGGACTCAAGCGTGGCAACAATAGTGAGGATGGCCCAGGATAGGGCAGTGTTTTGTTCTGTGCATAAGATTGCTACAAGTTGGTACCAACTCCACGGCACCTAACAACAACAACAACAATGTACCATCAGTTAACAGTATTTCTCTCTATTCATTTTAGCTCATTTAAAACCTCACAGGCATATATAATAATTTACACCACCAAAGGGCACATTCTGCAAGTCTGCCTCCTAGCCACCAGCACCAAGTCCCTCTCTTTCCATAATAAGTCCAGAGTCCTCAGCTGCTCTGTCTCTCTCCATGTCCCCATCCCTGCCTCCATCTCTGGTATCACTGCTTCTCTGGATAAGGTCCCACATTCTGCTTGTGCTCTTCTCCCTTGATGGTCGTAGGGTCCTCTGTTTCTGGACTGTAAGGTTAATTACTCCCCCATAACTTTTCACTAATTCTTAAAATGAGCAAAGAATTTTGTCAGTCGTTCATCTTTAATATTTGATATCATTTCGTAGAGAAGCTCGTATTTTTATTTGATGTACTAAAACAACTTTGTTGAGGTATAATTTACATGTAATAAAATGTACACATTTCAAATGTACAGTTTATTGAGTTTTGACAAACGCATACACTCAGGCAATCACTGGATCAATCAAGATATGCAACATTTCCATCGTGCCAGAAACTTCCCTCTTGTTTCTTTAGAATTCCATTCTCTCCATCTCAGGTAACTATTAGTCTGATTTATATTATTATAGATTTGTTTTACCTCAGCATTTATATATCTGAAAATGTCTTTATTTCATCCTCATATTTATAATAACTGCTTTGACTTTTTTGTCTGCTAAGTGTCACATTGGGACCATCTAGGGGTCATTGCCTACTGACTTTTGTTTTCTTGACAACGGGAAACACTTTATTTTCTTTGTATGTCTAGCAATTTTTAATAGTAAATTGAACAATTGTCGGCGATACATTGTAGAGATTCTGGATTCTGACATCTTCCTTTATAGAGTATTGATTTTCTTTTTTCGAATTGGCAGTTAATGAAGAGTCACCTTGAACTTGTACAGGCTTAGCTTTAAACTTGTTATGGTGGATGTGTAGAAACCTCAAGATGTTTTCCAAGTCCTTTAAATCTGTGGTACTGAATCTGTACACTCCATAGCCACTGAAGATCTTGTTGTTAAGTGCTGTCGAGTCAGTTCCGATTCATAGCGACCCTATACAGGGCTTCCAAGGAGCGGTTAGTTGGTTTGAACAGCTGACCTTGCGGTTAGCAGTCCAGCGCTTATTCCACAGTGCCACACCAGGACTCTGAAGATCTTATTAGGCCTTGTTTTTTGGCTTTCTGAGAGTATGTGCAGAGTAGGCCTAATTCGAGGCACAGCCTTTACTCTTATATGGGGTCTTTCTACTATCTTGGCTGTATCATCAGGGTCTTAAAAGAGTGTTAAGAAGGTCTCTCCACTGTGACTGGGCTGGACTTCAGTATCCCCCAGTACTGCTCAACCTTGGAGTCTATGTTCCACTTTCAACCCTAGAGCAGCCTCAGCACTCTCTGATAACCTTCAGACAGTTTCACCTTGTGCCAGCACAGCCCAACTCTCAGGCAAGAACTTGTGGGGATTTCTGCCCAAAGACTTCTGAGTCTTCACTACCACAGCTCTCTTCTTCCTCTTCTGCCCCCAAAATTCGAACTGCTTCATATTTCCAAAATGCTAGTCTCTTCATCCTCAGTTTAGAGAAACTGCCATGCTCTTCCTGGACTCCAGATCACTGCCCCACAGCTGGGGAGATCATCCTTCTGCAGGGAGTCTGGGAGATTCTGGAGCTCACCTCGTGAGTTTCACTTGTCTTGGGGGTTGTAGTTTTTCTGTTGTCCTGCACCTGAAAAAAAAAAAAAAGGAACCCCTGATGTAGCACTGTAGGATTAGTGCTGGACTGCGAAGTACAAGGATGGTGGTTCAAGCCCACCAGCTGTTCCTCAGAAACCATATACAGGGTCTCTATGAGCCGGAACCTACTCGATGGCACTTTACAACAAGAGCACCTGAAACTGCTATACGTACTTTGTCCAGTTTTGTGGTTACTTACAGCAGGCTGACTAGTCCAGTACTAGTTATTTCATCATAACTAGAAGTAGAAATCTATTTTATTAAGAGGCTCAAGGTCTTCATCTGCTTTCCTGTGGGCCTCCTGCAATCTTGTGAGTTTTCCCACAAATTTCATTGGAAGTCCTCCATGTGTTATGTTAAAATACTTATTAACTACATTTTTTTCAATTGCTAGCTGGTCTAACTTTGCCACAGAGCCATTCAAAGAAGGCTTTGCATGTAATTTGAACAGTTTTCTGATATCACTCTTGATTGTTTCATAAAATTTCATATCTTTCATAAGATTTGATGTTTCATTTTGTACACATTATGCTTGCATGAGATTGTTGGCTGTTACAACATTGCACAGTCCCTGTGAGATTAATAAATACATAAAGATATTGGTCCTGTGGCAGGGATACATACATTTGTGTTAACTGGGATGGGGGTCAAAGGATGGATGGTGTGGCGCTGTGGGTTGATGCATTGGATTGCAAGGTTGGTTTGAACAGTAAGATAGGAGTTCAAACTCACCAGTTGCTCCTTGGAAATCCTATATAGGGTCACTATGAATTGGAACTGACTCGATGACACTTAACAGCAACAGAAACAACTAGTGAATATTTCCTGTGGATTTTGCTTTCTTGCCCAACTTTGTAACTGAAAATTCTAATAATTTTTGCTCAAAATGTATCAATAGTTAGTGTGGTGCTGTGGGCTAATGCACTGAACTGCAATGTTGATTTGAATTGTAAGGCGGGCGGTTCAAACTCACTAGTCGCTCCTCAGAAACCCTATATAAGGTCAGACCCCACTCTACAGCACTTAACGACAACAAGAAGAAGTCATATAATAAAGACTTCTCCCCAGCCATGTAGCGCATGTGATTGGAAGGAGGTGAGGGAAATCGTGAAAGAATGGTCAGGAAGGAAAGTGGTCGGTAGAGGAGCTAGGGAGCTAGAGAGACTTGTGGGAAATTGGCATGGGAGCCCCATACCTTCTTTGAGAGCCCTGGAGCTGGGGCTGAGCCAAACAATCCCTGAGGCAAGGTGTCCCCACCACCGAAACAACCAGTAGATGGTATTCCAGTGGCTACCTGACCTATCTCCCCATGGGGCCCTTATACCTCTATGCCCACGGGATCCTCCTTCAACAGTTGGTGCCCAGTGACAGACTGGGGCTGGAGCCCAGGCTAGTGTTGAAATTGCAGCCTGCTGAAGCACTTCCTGGAGCTAGAGAATTCAGCTGGGATAGTCACCCTGGGGCCAGTCTCTGGCATTCCTGATACCTTTGAGATGTGGCCAGTGTCAGGCCCCAGGTTTGGGTGTTGGGGTCTTGATTCTAGTCTGTGGCTGAACGGTGAGAGCTGACATTCCAAAGGCATCCAACCCATGGTGACCATCCAGAGGGCTCCGCTTCCTGGGCTCTGGAAAATGGAGTGGAGAAGATGGTGTGTGTGACAACTGTGTCCTCACGGAGCTTCCTGGGGTTTCAGGTGACATCTGAGGCCATTCAAGGCCCAGTATCTCCCTGGTCCCTTGGTTGGCCCGGGGCTCCCAGGCCTGGCTCTTTGGCTGGTGTTCATCACTCTGTGGGGACCTGCTCTCTCTCCCACTGGGCACGAAGGAAATGGAGGTTGAGAGAGGCAAGTGGTAGACTCTGGTGAGGGAGGGTAAGAAGCTGCCAGAGTGGAGGAGCTCCTTGAGTAGCTGAGGGAAAGAGGAAGTTGTACTCATCCTTGTGTCACAGGAAGCGCCCAACCTGCCGGGGTGGGGGGCGTCCTTCTATCTTGAGATTTGTGAGGCTAAGAAGTAAGTGCTTGTTTTACTGCATTCAAGGCAATAATGTTGTTTTGCCCTTCAGTTTCAGGGAGAAACTGGAAGAACTTTGCCCTGGTTCCCCTTTTAAGAGACACAAGTACTCGAGAAAGGCCCACTGCCCAGCCTGAGGAGGTCCATCTGAGGCACTTTGCTGGGTCCCTGAAGCCAGAAGATGCTGAGGTCTTCAGGGATTCTGCTGCTTTCCAGGAGAAGTGAGGGCCCCCTGCCCCAACCTAGAGTACCACACAAGGAATACTCTTAATGCTGGGGCTTAAACTACCTCCTGGCTCCCAGGGCTCTGTCTCTAGCCTCAGGCTATGAGGGGGTAGAGTGAGGCTGGGGCCTTATAGTCCTTCCTCCTTGGAAATTGGAAGAGATATGCATCCAATCTCACTGCCCCTGAGTGAATCTCCCGACAGGAAATTATATTGCTTTCAAATTTCTATTGGCTTTATTAAGCAGGGTGAATGATAAGCCTCTACTTAGACATGTGTTATGCCCTTGTTTTCTTTGGCTTGATCTTACTGGGAGTAAAAATAAATTAAATGCAGGGAAGCACCTTTTAGAATCAAATTCAACCTTTGATGTCACATGTGAAAGCCCCTTCTCTGTGTATTATGCTTAGTCTCTGATGGTGACATCATCGTCTACTCCCCAAAGAAGGTGGGGAGGAAGGTGGGCCCATTCTCAGTGCTGCCAGAGTAAGTTTACTTTACAGTAAAGGAGTGACTTTAGCCTTCTGTGTGATACATTATCGTTCCAAAAGGATGAGCTCCATTGCTATTCAAATAAAAGTGTAGAGCTATGTCCCAAAGCTCGTGGAATGACTTCTTAGTGACCTTCCATTTGTAACAGCCGCTGCTCCTCTGCAACGGCCCCACATCCATCCAATAAATATATGTGTCTATTAAGTGTGAACTTTTACCAGGCATTGGACTGGCTTTGTGTGATCTCTGTGTGTGCATGTGTGTACTGGTCTGTATGTGTACTACTCCATGTGGCCAGGAGTCTCTGGTCACTAGTTGTTACTCATGAGTAAGGACACTCCCTCACATATAAACCTACTATAGTCAGCAAGCTATGGCCCATGGGCCAAATTTAACTTACCCTCTGTATTTGTAAATAAAGTTTTATTGGAACATAATCATGCTCATTTGTTCAGCCTGCGACTGCTTTCACCTTACAATGGCCGAATTGTGTGTGTTGAACAGAGACCAAATAGCCTCCTAAAGAGAAGATATGTTTATTATTTGATCCTTTACAGAAAAGTTTGCTGATTCTTGCTTTATGAGGTGGTGGTGGTGTGCCGTCCAGTCGGTTTTGCCTCATAGAGACCCTGTATAGGGTTTCGGAGGCTGTAAATCTTTATGAGAGCAGAAAGCCTCACCTGTTTCCCACAAAGCAACTGGTAGATTGGAGCTGCTGACCTTGCAGTTAGAAACAACTAGTTCACCACTTTGTGGAGAAAAACTTTAAAGAAACAAATAATCCAGATAACAGAGCTGTTCCAGACATTGGCTGGATAGTGTTCATGTTTGTGGATTGAGCTGCTTAGGCATGGGATTGCCAGACACTGGTACACAAAAGGATAGATGATGCTGGCCAAGGCCAGGGTTATGACCCTGAGGTGAGAGGTATATCTAGAGGAAGCACCTGACCTCTCTTCTTCCATCTTTTCCAGCATGACATCACCTCCACACCTGAGGAACCCATGGGCCAGTTGATAAGGTGTCCTTGTGTGAAGTGAGCCATGGCCACTATACTGGGAAGCCATATTGACCACCAGAAAGTACAGGGTCTTTATACAAAGCACCTGATGAGTATGATCACCTTCAAGCCTCAGACCAGCCCCATGGAGTAACCATCATTAGCTCCACTTCATAGATGAGAAAACCTAGGCCCAGACAGCTAGTAAGGTTGCACAAACAGTAAATAGTCTTGCCTGGATCTGACCTCAGTCTGGCTCCAAAATCCAATTCTTTGTAGGCTGTGGGCAGAAAACCGTATGCCAGCCTGCCCCTGGTCAAAGGGAGATGTGAGGACTGCTCGATTCCTGATGTAGGCCTGGTCACCTGGAGCCCTCTGCTTCCCTAGAGGGCATGCTCTGCCATGACCCCTGGTGGACCCCTTGTTTCTGAAGGTCACACTCAGAAAATGCTGTGAGGTGACACAAGTTTCTGTCGATAGGTCAGAGAGCTGAAAAGAATCCTGTGGCTGTTCTTTGGTAAAATAAATAATGTGTAAACCTGGGGTTGTTTAAAGAAAGACATACGTATAACTGACATGTTATTGTCCCCCCTGTCTCTTATCTCGTTATCCCTCTCTGCCACCATCACCTGGAGGCAGGATGAGCCAGGTATTTGGAGGGACACTGCTCAGTCCTCCTAGCACAGGGACCCCTATGGCTTGCCAGGACCCAGTGGGACCATTTCCTAGAGTGGGCCCTGTCTAACCAGAGGCATGGCTACTATGCTGCTCTTAGCCCAGCTCCCCTTCCCAGCCTCACTCCTTATTGTACCGAGTCAGGCATTTCCTGGAGCAAGTCAAGAGCCACAGAAACCCTCTCTCCCCACTCCAACTAGGGGAGAACAGATGGGCCTGTCTCCTGGGCCTGGGTGTCTGTAGTGTTTAGAAGGGTGGGGAGGGACTGCCCACTTGTTGTATCCTCCTGTAAGAGTGTCCAGCAGTCAGGAGGACATTATGCAGGCAGACAGACACATGAACTGATCATGGTCACCACTCTGACCTCAGTCTAGTGAGGTGGGGTACATTTAAAGGATGATGGCCACGCTAACACGTCTAGGGGCTCCTGACATCCTGGTTTCTGGGAGTCTGGAGGGGGTAGAAATTGCCAGAGGCTGCCCTTTCCTCTCCTGGCCCTCACACTGTCCCAGGTCCTGCCTGTCTCCCCTTGCTGTTTTCATCCATACATACCAATCCATTTGAAATATATTGTTCATGGGACTTAAGAACCCCAGTGGTGCAGTGGGGTAAGTATTGGGCTGCAGACTACAAGACTGGAGGCTAAAACCCACCAGTCACTCTGTGGGACAAAGATGAGACAATCTTCTCCTAAAAAGGTTTAGTCTTAGAAAGGTTGTTATGAGTTGAAATCGACTTTGTGGGGATTTTGTTGTTGCTGTTCCTCGCATTGCTGTCTACTTAGGGTGTCTGGTTCGTCCCGAGAGCCCAGGACCCCTCAGAGTGAAGAACAGCCTGTTAGGGCTCCATGTTTCAAGGCACAGGAGCAGCTGGGACAGCGCACTAATGGGCACTGACATGGGGCCAAGCCTTGGTAAGGGAGGTGGTATTTCTGGTTCCACACTCCTGGGACTGAGCCATGGAGACCTCAACCACAGGACATGAGTTTCATCCAGGAAAGCATCATTGGGGTCTGGACAGACAGAGACACTGCCTTTGGTTTGGGGGTGCTGGATCCTGCCTGGCCACGTTGGTGACAGCAGTCCCACTGGGTCTCAGTTCATGTGCCATTTGAGACTGGCCTGCTCAGCCCTTGTAACTAAGGAGTCAGGGCTGGCCCGGTGTTTTCACAGTTCCCTGTCACCACGGAACAAAGGTCAGCGTCATCAGGCTGGGGCCTGTCTGTGGCCTCCTGCAGCTCCATCTCTGATTGCTCCACCCAAATCATACGCTGCTTCTAGTTTTGTCACCCTTCCTTGAGCACGCTAGGGTCCCTTGTCTGTATAGATTGCCCAAGTCCAGTTCAAATCACCCTCTTCCTGGAATGTACCCTCCTCCACAGTTAAACAAACAAAACAAAATTGGTTGCCATTGAGTTGACCCTAATTCATGGCAACCCATGTGTGTGCGAGGAGAACTGCGCTCCACAGGGTGTTTAGTGATGATGGAGTTTTTGGAAGTAGATTGTCAGGTCTGTCTTCTGAGGTACTTCTGGATGGATTCGAACCTCTAAGCTCTTGCTGGTTGTCACACTCATCATTTGCACCCCAGGGACTCCTCCCATCAGCCTGTTGTTGTTGTTAATTGCCATAGAGTTGGTTCTAAACTACTACCCTCGTCCCTCCCACCTGCCAATTAAAGGGACTTTCTTTTGCCTTGGGGGTCTGAGCCCTTTCTGTCCTTATAACCTGCCTGGTAGGGTTCTAGTCTCTGCTGAGTCCCTCTCCCCTCAGGCCTTGAAGGTGGAGACTATCTTCTCCTGTTCTGTACCCCTCATTCCACCCCTGCTTCCCACGGTGAGCTTTCATGAAATGGAATTGGATCCACACCAACCCGAGGGGCTGGAGTGCAGCTTCCATGTGCTTTGGGGGTTGCCAGTGGCTCTACTATGTCGGGTGACCTGGATCCTGCTCCCATTCACAGGAGAGGTTCCTCCCCTGGCTCTGTGCTGGGCACAGAGGGAGACCATGGGGCTTTTTAACTAGTCCCAGCTTCTTCTCTGAGACACATACTTAAATACTTCAACTCAAGGCAAAATTTGGCACTGAAATTTGGCAGCAGCCTCAGCCATAGCTGCAGATAGTCAGAAGCAAGCTAGGAGGGACGAGGGGGTGAGTCAGGAGGGGGCAACTGAGCAATGGAGGAAGGACTGTTCTTAACCCAAGGTTGGCCTTTCATGGTAGTTTCAGGCAGAGGGATGGAATTTTGAATTGTGTGATGAGAAGTCGGATACCCTTCAACTTAAACTGCAAACACAGCCTTCTACTCCACCTATAACCAAGCTGTTTGGACCCACACAGCTTTCTGCCCTACCCCAGGGCCTGTTCTCCCCAGGTCTAGAAGCCTGACTCAGCCCCCTGCTTCCTCTCCAGTGCTGGCGGATGGCAGTGATGAGGAATCCAGGGCCTGCATCATCACCTGCACCATCCCTGTCAACAGAGACTTCCAGCTCCTGCCCAGTCCCGTCTCACCCTTGGGAGCAGGTGTGCAATCCCTGGATGATATCAAGACAGGCAGGGCCTCAGCAGCCTTGATCCACCCCCTTCACAAGGCACAAAGCCCCCTCAGGGTACTCTGACCTCAGAGGCAGTTGCTGGGAGGATGAATTGGCATGACAACACCAACACTAACTATGCGCCGTCCCCATTTTTGGGCTCTTTTTGTACCTGGACCTTGTTCTAGCCCTTTATTTGCATTCTTTCATTTAAGTTCTGGGCAACCCTACAAACCCTTTGCCTTCAAGTCAACTGGTAACTGGATTCAGACTCCTACTGAGTCTATAAGGCAGAGTTGAGCTTCCCCATGTGGTTTCCAAGGCCGCAAATCTTCACAGAAGCAGATTGCCACGTTGTTTCTCCTGGGGAGTGGCAGATGGGTTCAAACTGCCAACTTTTTGATGAGCAGCCAAGTGCTTAGCCATTGAGCCACCAGGGCTTCTTGCAACCCTACAAGGTGGGTGATAATGTGCCCATTTCACAGATGAGAAAACTGAGGCCAGCCAAGAGGTGTGAGGTGATCTAACACTAAGGTCTGTGATGGGAAGCACTGAATGAGGACTTGCTCTGTCTCTGAGGGACCTGATTCCAGGACTGACTTTGAAGGACAGATGCTAAATCACAGGGCTGCCTGCCTTGGGGTCAATCAGGCCAGCCCTTGGCTGTGGCCCTACCTCACAGGCATCAGGGCAGAGCACTAAGAACTCCCACAACTATGTTTTCTTGGGTTCCTTACAGCACCCTTGGGAAGCAGGTAGAATGATTCCCATTTCACAGTCGGCCTATGAGTATCACAGGCAAAATAGGGACAAGTTAGGTCCTGCACTTGTGGCCTCACACCTGCCCCATCCTCTGCCTTTCCTCCTGTGGGATGAGGCTGCTGCATGTGGGTGTGAATGGTGACTCACATAGGCACGTGTGTGGGCGGGTGCTGCTGCTCAGGTTGGTGGGTGTGACCTGCCTGGCACTAAAGGCAAGTGGCCCAGCCAGTTCTTTTTCTGACACTTCATTCCAGCCATTCCTCTGCCTGCGATGAGACTTTCTCAGTGCCTCCGCTGTAGTCCTGCTGGGGGGCCACGGGCTTCAGATATGTGGTGATCTCAGAACAAGGGCTGCTTCTGCCACCAGAGCCTTGCTGGGTGAGTCCTTCTGCACAAGCTGATGTGCCCTCCAGAACCTGGGGGAGCCAGATCATGGGCCCCGGGACCTTGGGGCCCTGGCTGTACTCTTCCTTTGCCGATGGGGTTTGTGAGTGACTTGGGAGGGAGCTTGGGCTGGGTAGAGGAGAAAAAGTTAGATGTGTGCTCTTCTCCTTGGAGGTGCTTGAGAACACAGGTTCTGATGGAGCAGAAGGACCACGTCCCCCTGAGTTTGGGGATCCTCCGAAGGGAGAGCATTTCCTGACTGCCAGGGCCAGAGATGGGACTCCTTTTTTCCCAGCAGGCCCCAGGGACTGACATTCAGAGATGGGAGAGTGACAGGGTTCATGATGAGGTGAGGTGGCATCTCATGGATGCTGAACACACAACCACTGGCTCAGGTGGGCTACCTGTAGCCCCTGGGCCTCGATTGTCCCCCAGGAAAGGCCATTTCAGTCAGTATCAGGCTTTGGAAGTTTCAACACCCTGCTTTCCAGGTGGGGAAACTGAATTCCAGAGAGAGGGAGGGCCGGAGCAGCAAGAGAGTCCAGCAGGTGAGAACGCAAGGTTTATGGGTTGACTCAGGGAGCTAATTATAGCTGCTGCAACCCTAGTCCAGAGTTTTCCTGACCCCTTCCTGCCCTGGCTGCCTAGGAGTGGATGGACAAGCAGCTGCCATTGGTCAGGGTTATAGGGCCCTTGGGGATCACTGAGCTCATTTCTCATAGAGGCCAAGGGCCAGGGAGGGATAAGAGACATGGTTTTTAACCGTTTCCTTCATTCTTGATCCAGTCTTCCCTCATAGCCCCACCTACAAGTCTGCCCACAGGTCACTTCAGGATGAGCGGCCCAGTAAAACAGCCCCATCCTCATCCTACTGTGGCTGTGGATATAGACAGGGACCAGAGTTGCTCACTTTGTAGTTTTGAGACCACCTTCGCAAATTTTCCTGCCTCAAGATGCCTATACTTCCTGGATGACTCCTCTCCCACCACTGCTCACTTTTACTGGGAGAAAGGGGCTCTATTCCATCTCCAAGCTTCACTCAAGTCTCTGATGACAGCTCCACCAGATACTTCCTCCAGGAAGCTTTACCACTTGGAGCAGGAGGACCTGACGCCCCACCTCCACCTCATCCAGCTGGGCTCTTCATCTTCCCACCACCACTCCCATATCTCTGAGTGAACACCCCAAGAGTGACTCAAGCTGAGAATGACCCCCATTAAGTGCAGAATCACCTCTTGTCCGCACAACCTTTATTCTTAGCCCAGCTCTTCCTGTAGAGCCAGCCTGCCCCTGCTCTACCCGAAGGGCACCTTTTGGACCACCACATTTTCCTCCTACCCTCTACAACTGCTCTTTCTTTGTTGTTTTTTAGAAGCTTTTTATTGTGAATTGAGTGAAGTTTTTCCGTGAAGATCATCAGTTTTACATTCAACAAACCACGCACCGTGTTTCATTTCAGTGACTTCAATCCCCTCCATGTAACAACAGTTAGCCCCCTTCCTCCCAGTGGTTCCTCTTTCCATTCCACCCTCCTTCCCATCTCTTCTCAACTTTGTCTTTAGGGAAACGCTGCCCGTTTGATCTTGAATGATCGACCATTACGTGGTGAGCATACCTTACTGGTGTTCCTCACCCCGCCCCTGTAATATACCTAGTTACTGTTTGGCTGAAAATTGGACCATGTGGGTAAGTCCAGTTCCAGACCTGAAGGCTGGTTGAGAACTATAGTCTCAGGTTCCTCCAGTTTCTTACTCACCAGTAAGCCCAGTCTTTTTTTTGTTTTTAAATAATTTTGAGTTTTATTCCATATTTTCTCCCACTCTATCTAGGACCTCCCTGTTACCCTCAGAATCAATTACAACTTCAGGTGTTTGATGTCCTCACAACACGGTTGAAACCTGCTCCCAAGCTTCCCACTGGCTTACTCCTTAAAAACATGTTCTCCAGCCACACAAGCTCCATGACACTCATAATTTCCTTGACCTCTGTCCTTTGCTCAGGGTGTCCCTCTGCCTGGATCCTTCATACCATACTGAAGTCTAGAAGTCTACTTCAGTTGCCTTCCTAGTCTCCTCAAGATATAGCCAGCCCCTCGTCCCAGCACCTGCATCTCTGTGCTCCTTTAAGCCCTACAGAGAGCCTGGCCCAAATAAAGTATCAAAGCAGGTCTAGAGGTCTAGAGGGGACTACCTCCTTCACTTTGGAGTTGGGGCTCAGCTGTTGGGTGAGCTGGAAGACAGTGTGGTCTCTGCTGCCTTGTGATTGGTTCATCTACTCCTGGCCCTCAGTGAGAGAAGGGAATTCAAAGTGGGCTGTTTTGGGTAGGCACGAGATGAGAGTGTGCTTGTTGCAAAGATCATGAGGGTGCTGAGAGAGAGCAAAAAACACCAGAGGTGCCGGAAGATAAATTTTCCTGGAGCGTGATGTCTAGAGCAAAGAAAGTGGCAGTCCATTTCTATCAAGGTCAAATCTTTGAGGAGAGCTCTGAACACAAATCTGAGAGCGGCACAGGGAAAGCAAGGCTAAAACTCAGGAATCCATTTGGAGCCGTGGTATTTGCTGGAGATGGTGTCTTGCAAAATAGTTTCTTGTCTTGAGACCAACCAAGAGCATGGAGGGCTCTACCTGGAAGCTCTGCTGGCTCTCCTTGGGCCACAGTAACAGGGTGTGTAGTAGAGAGTGGAGGAAGCTCTGGGGATGGTCTGAGAGGGGTTGACTGCCTGAGTAAATAGTGAGTTCCTTCTCTCTCTCTCTCTCTCTCTCTCTGTGTGTGTGTGTGTGTGTGTGTGTGTGAGAGAGAGAGAGAGAGAGAGATATGGCCAGATGGTATCTGAAGTCAGTTGAAGCTTATCTGTACCCTTTCCACCTGAGTATCTGCCTTGGAATTGTTTTTCAGCCATGAATGCCCACCCCAAGGAGATGGTGCCCCTCATGGGCAGGAGAGCTGTGGCCCCCAGTGGGAACCCTGCCATCCTACAGGAGAAGAGGCCTACTGAGCTCACCCCTACCAAGAAGAGGTAGGACAGGCAGGCTTGGGGTTGGGCTTTGTGCTGCGGGGCCACAGGAGGGATCCCTGGCCTGGGGTGGACCTGAGACTCTCATTCTCAATTAGAATAGCCTGGTGCCTGTGTCTTTATGGGGGCTGAGCAGAGGAGGTCAGTCTGACCAGCACAATGAATGAGGCTTCCTTGGAGGACTCAGGAGAACAGTTAGGCAGGAATGGCCAGGAAGGTCCTTGGAGGAGGTGAGACATTGCTAAGCCATCCCTGAGATGAGCAGCACAAAGGTGGGTGGAAGATCCAGGTGATCAAGGGACTCCACTGGCTAAGTTTTTCCCCTACACCAAGAGCTCATGTTATTGTGTGTTTATCCAGGTTACTCAAGGCTTTAGCTGCACCTGTGTAATGGGGACACCAACAAGGATGGTAGATAATTAGGATCAAGTTGACAAAGTGCTCAGCGCAGTGGCTGGCACTTGGTCAGTACTCATCACATGTTAATGTCATTGTTGGTTTTGTTGTCTCATCATTGTTAATCCCTGGAGGCTGGGCAGGGCAGGGATGGTTATCTGCACTTTACAACTGAGGGGCAGGGAAGGGACTTCTGTAGGGTCACATGTCCTTTCCATTGTAGATATCTCCATCCTTCTGTAGATTCTGTGCCCCTCAACTCGAAGCTCCTCCCACCCCAGCTGTGGTCCTCTTGGGCTTTGGTTGGACTCCCTAGTCCAGGATGGCTTATTTTCCTTGTCTCCCCTGCCAGGGCCCAGAGGTGAGCTTGATGTTTTACCTTCTGTCTGGTAATTTTGAGTAATTATCACTAATGTCTCCTAAGCATCAGGCCTGGACTCAGGTAGACCTAACCCCTACCTCCTTCCTGGGAGCCTTGGTCTGCTTTTCCGTGAGGAGACAGTTGCCCTGGGTGCAACTTGCTGACCCTCAGTTCCCAGTTGGCGCCAGGTGTTCCATCTCTGGAACACAGAGAAGAATGACCATCTCTGCTCACAGTCTGATGAGGGGTCTCTGAAGAGAATGTGGGAAGTGACCAGAGCATGGGTAAACTAGGAGGAAGGGGGCTGAAGAGGCGTGGGTTATCCCATGGGCAATGTTGAGGCACTTATGGGAGGAGATGGTAGTAAGTGGATGTTGGCAGTGGAAGGAAAAGAAAGGGCATCCTGGGCAGAAGGATGTGGGAGTAAATGCTCAGGGCAAAGGCTGGTAAGGAGTCCAGTGTAGCTGAAGAGTTAGTTGGGTAGGTGTAAGAGTCTGGTTGAGATTGAATCTTGGAGGGTCAGTTAAAGAGGTTGGACAATGCTAAGGGTAATCCATGGAAGGATTTTCTACAAGAGAGAGGACATAGATAGACTTACATTTTGGAAAGGTTGTTCTAGGTGGATGATGGTAGGGAAGCTGATGGGAAGTCTAGGTGACTGAGGTCTAGGCCCAGGTGGTCCAGGATGAAGAGAAAGGAACAGATCAGTGAGGTATTAGGCTTGTGGGGTCTTCAGAATCACTCTGGAAGGGGAGGGAAAAAAGAGGAGCCAAGAGATATCCCATTTTTTCCTGGCAGAAGAACCTGGAGGGATGGTGGGGCTGTGTCTGACGTCAGAGGAGAAGGAGCAAGGTCAGGAGGAAAGTGCCAGGTTCAGGTATGACATATTGAGTGAGAAGTGCTGAGGGACATCTAAGTGGAGGTGTCCAGACAGTACTGGCTGGAGCACAGGAGAGAAAACTGGGTGGAGATGGTGATCAGACAGGCCAACCTAGGTCTGGGGGCTTTGCCCAGGTAAGGACAGAGATATCCCTGAGCGAAGCCATCAAGGACCTTCTTCTCTATCTCTCTTCTCCCTTCCCCTCCTGCTGTCATAGAGGAGGTTTGGGTCAGGTTGAGGATTGAAGACAAGGATCCAGGAAAATCCCTGGTTCTTCCTGCAGCAACACTGCTTTTGTTTTCTAAGCCAAAGGTGGTACGGTGTGACCTTGTCTCAGAGTCTCTCTGAAGTAGTGGCCTCCTCCTTCCAAAAGGCTGCCCGAGGTTCCTTACAAGTCCATGTTTCCTCAGACCTCAAAGGTTTTGGCATCTCCCTGAGAACAGAGTGTAGTACTCATCCTGGGGAAGAGAGAATTTGCTTGCAATGAAAAGAGAAACTATTATGAATAAATAAAGAGTGAAATGCTGACTACTAAGAGACTATATACCAAGGGTGGGGTCAAAGGCATTAAGAAGTTTGCATTGGGGAGAGATTTTGGATCTGGGGGCTTTTCCTGAACTGTCAGTCCATTCCATGTGAGTAGATGTCACTGCTGATTCCTTACTGGGTCCTGGGTGATGCCTACCTGAAGATGGCTATGGAGGAACTAGCACTGTGGAGTTAAGAGCACATGGGCATTTCTTGGAACAATGCTGGTGGCCACACAAGCCTCCTTACAGCCCATGGGGTTGTTTGGAGATTGTTCTTTGCCTTCAAAGGGACAGAAATGCAGAGGAAATGGTGCAGAGCTGTCTCTCACCTGAGTTAACAATACCCAGATGGCGCCCTCTGCTCTGGGCCAAAGGTAGGAATAAACAAACAGCCATCTGCTGTCTGTTGAGAGCCCAGGCTGTCATGTGGCCTAGACCTTAACAGATAATCATGATGGTGGGTGAGATGTGGCGTTTGTTGAGGCAAGTAGGTCAGTCTTCAGTCCCAGAGTTAGGTCCTTCTCCATCAACTGAGGTTCTCCCCAGTCCAACTCTCGTCTCTCTTAGTCTTTCATTCTGTAAGACCTTCTTACTTCTTCCTCAAACACAGCCCTTACCTTCCTGAGACAGAGATGTTTTCATGCTGCTCTCTCAACCTCCAGTGCTTTTCCCCAACTCTTACCACAGGCTCACTTCAATACTCACATCAAATAGTACCTGCACAGAGCACCAGAACCTTGCCTGCTCCCTGCCCTAAACTGGAAGTACTTTCCCTCCCCCTGAGCTCCATAACCCAACCCTTCTCTGAAGAGGTTGGCACAGTTATTGGGAATATATCCTAATTCTAGTTGAAATCTCTGAGGACAGGACCCTGAAAAGAATTATCTCTTGAGCAAGTGGGCAAGAGACAGAGAGTCAATGAAGAAGTGGGCAAGAGACAGAGAGAAGGAATGAATAAGAGAGTGAGGCCATAGCCCAGTGGCTCAGCACAGCCCCTCAGCCTGAGGACAGAATCCACAGTGAGGAAATGCTTCTTACCCTCTCAGTCTCCAGGCCTAGAATGGAGAGATGCCTTCACGACATGGTTTTCTGCAGTGTGCTTCAGGTCTGGGGAAGAGATAAGAAAAGAGAAACAGTGATATGTAAAGAAGGAGGGCAATGCTGGACCCTAAGGATATAGGCACTGACGGTAGAATTGGAGGCCCCAAAAAGTCTGGATTGGGGAGAGATATTTGAACCTTCTGGGAATAGGTCTTGAGAAGGTAGGGAGATGAAGGAGAAACAAAGGACTCATACTGAGCTTCCGGAAAAGAGAGTGGGATTTAGGAGATGTGAGGGTTTTAGGCAACTGAGAGTTCAGTAGAAGTCACTTGAGAAATATAACCTACCCACAGTATTTGAAGTTTAAAGTTGTGTTGGTCTCTCTTTATTCTGTCCATCCACCTCTTCATTTAGTTAGCTGTCTATGCACCGGACTACTTATTCTCTATCCATCTACCCATCTACCCCTCTATTCCTCTCTCCCTCCCTTTTTCCTTCATTCCTTCCTCCCTCCTTCCATTCACATGTCCATCTAGCTGATACCATTCTTACTTCCGTTCATTTAGCTTTTCACTCACCACCTTTCCATCATTCTATTTATCCATTCATTGACGTCTTCTGAGTGTTGGGTTGTGGGGAATCAAGGATGATGCACTGGTGGTTCTTGCCACTGAGGAGCTTACAGACAACGGGGAGTGAGTGTACTGTTCAGAGTAAAGGAAGGGATGGCTGCACCGCATTTGTCCTGTCTAACCCTTGGAGCCAGTCCATTGGAACAACGGCTCTATGAGAGTAGTGATTTTGCCCAATTGTTCACCCAGCTCCTAGAACAGTGTCTGACACATAGCAGCTACTCAATAAATATTTGTTGAGTAGTGGATCCCAGATAGATAAGCTGAGGGGCAGGGAAGGTGAAAGATCAACTTCAGGTATGGAGATTGGGGCTGAGCCAGGAGATGCATTTAAAGCTCCTGTGTCAAAGCTGTGTGGTGTGGTGGGAACCTTTTTGAGATGGCAGTTCTGGACCACTGTGGGGTGAATGGAACAGTGATCAAACTGGAAGACCTCTGATGCTCACTTTAGGTGGACAGTCCACAAGTGGATGATCCTGGAGCTTCCTTGATTTCATACTGTAGACCATCAAAATCATTTAGTCCAACCATTCGTTTTCCATCCAAGTGAGGCCACTTGGCCCAGAGACAGTAAATGACCATCTGGGGTCACAAAGCAAGTAGAGACTGATCCAGACTAGAGCTCAGGCATTAGGCTTCCCAGTCTAGAGTTTGCTCCTCCCTTTTTTTTTTTTTTTTTCTCTTTTGGAAGAAGGATTTGATTTTAGGTCAGATTAGAAGACTTCCTGTGATGGGCAAGAAGGTGAGGTCAATGAGTCACCCACACTGCCCATACCCCACTTGTGCCCCATTTCTAGATTAGCTCTGAACCTTCCAGGCTTTGCTGTACCTAAAGGATAGGAGAGGGATTCCCCAGGTCATCCCAGTCCTCCCCTCATGCCACACCCTGGAAAGTGGCTACATCAGGTGGCCTCCCTCCGTGGTGAACTCCTGGAGCTGGTTTGGCTGGAAGCAGATCCAGCAGGTTGAGGTGAGACAGCTGCTTGTGTTGTGGTGTGAACTGTGAATCTGAACATCCAGGGCCACATTCTCTGACTGACTTTGCTTTTATTCTTCTGGATGACTATGGATAAGCTGCCTCCCCATTTTGGGTTTCAGTTTCCTCATCTGTAGAATGAGACCATGATCCTTCTCCTATTTCCCTCCCTTCCAGTCTGAAGTTCCAACCCTAATAGGGCTGGGACTGCACGTTAGGAGTTGTTCTGTGGCCTTGTGAGGAGGGGAGGGAGGATGCTGGGCCATTGGGACCTGGAAGGAAGGTAGGTGGCAAAGGTGCCTAGGAGCCCTGTGTTCCTGGAGAGAGGCCTGGTTGGCCAGGAGGCCTTGTTTCCAGGGCCAGGTCTGAGGGAAACATTCTTCACATTTATTGAGCATCTACTTTGTGAGGGTCCAGCAGTTGTGAGAGTCAAGTGTTGGTGGACTAGAAGTTGCCCTCAGCCGAGTGCTCACCACTTGCTTGTCATGAGAGGCCCATGTGCCTGTGTGGTTGTGGTTTGAAAAGGCAGGCATGTCTGCTTTTGTGGATGTGTCTGAATGTGCCCTGTCTTTCCCTGAAGGCAGGGATAGGGAGTTCTGTTCTCGATGTTTCTTGCCTCTCAAGGGGCAGAGAGAGAGTCTCTCCCTCACAGGGTCCAGGCCAGGCAGCAGGTAACAGGCCTCAGGTCCTCATGGAAAGGCTTTTCTGAGAAGATGACATTCAGTAGTCTGACGGAAGAGAGGGAGCAGGCCTTGAGGAACCCTTTGCACCTGGAGGGGACAGCTGCAGAGAGGGAAGTCCTCTTTAGGGTATCAGGCTACCCCTACTAGGCCCCTGGGTTCATCTTCCCATGATTTATAGGAGTAAGAGCCACCCAGATTCAGGTTCAGGCTCTGCCACCTGCCATCTGTGTGACCTTGGTAAGTTGCTTCTTGCTTGTCTGAGCTTCCAAATGCCCGTCTGTGAATGTGGGTGATAACGGAATGACCCGCCCAGAGACGATGGCATGAGGCCATGTGGACGAGTCCATCGGGTGCTCATGGCTGCAGTGCAGGAGTCATGAATGCACAATTACAGGTCACCCAGGCAGACAGACCACACCCCACTCTAATGGCCTTGCTTGGGTGTCTCTCCAGTGCACACTTCTTTTTGGAGATAGAAGGGTTTGAACCTAACCCCACTGTCAACAAGACCTCACCCCCTGTCTTCTCCAAGCCCATGGATTCCAACATCCGTCAGTGGTGAGTACCAGCCCTGGGTCGAGATCCCAGCTCCAGGACGAGGAGGCCGAGGCCCCAAGTGGGTGGCCCGGTCTGGCTGTGAGTTGCCAGCATTGCCCACTTTTAAATGGCTCCTCTCTCTTTCCTCTCTTCACACTCCCAGCATCTCTGGCAACTGTGATGACATGGACTCCCCTCAGTCTCCCCAAGATGACGTGACAGAGACCCCGTCCAATCCCAACAGCCCAAGGTAAGCCTGGCCTTGCCCTGCCTCCCAGTGTCCCATCAAGGGGTGCTGTCAGAGGGATCCCCTCAGGATCCTATGTAGTTATATGCTGTGGAGTTGGTTCCGACTCATAGTGACCCTGTACAGGGTTTCTGAGTCTGTAAATCTTTACGGGAGTAGAAAGTCTCATCTTTCTTCTGTGGAACAGCTGGTAGTTTCGAACTGCTGACCGTGAGATTAGCAGCCCGATTCGTAACCACTACGCTACCAGAGCTCCTTCAGGACCCTATAGGAAAGAGAAAAAAGTTACCATCCCTTGGAGGGGTGCGGGTGAGGAAATTTTTTGGGTGGTGAGGGAGAATGTGTATGTTGTTGTTGTTGTTAAGTGCCTTTGAGTCAGTTCCGACCCATAGTGACCCTGTATAGGGTTTCCAAGGGACAACTGGTGAGCTTGAACCACCAACCATGCAGCTCAAACCAACTTTGCAGTCCAGCCCATTAACCCACAGCACTCTACCAGGAATGTGTATAAAACCCTATAAATCATTAACATTAAAAGAATAATAGTCAGAAACAGAATGAAGATTACAGCATTTATGCTTTCTCATGAGTTAAATTTGCATAATTATATAAGTGAAAAATACATGCTTATTACCCAAGGGCAAAGTTCAGTAGGGTTAGGAAAGAAGGCGGAATGGAGACAGGACACACAGGGAGGAATGTTACTTTGTGGTGACTGCATTCAATAAGAAGAAACAACATGTGTATGATTTGTTGTATGGAAAACCGATCTGCTCTGTGAACCTTCATCCAATTCACAATAAAAAGTAAAAAAACCAACAACCATTCTTATAAAGAGAGTGCTGGTGGTGCAGTAGGATAAGCACTGAACTGCTAACCACAGGTTGGCAGTTCAAACCCACCATCCACTCCAAGGAAGTCAGATGAGACCTCTTGCTTCCTTAAAGATTTAGAGCCTTGAAAACCCTATACAGTCAGAACTGACTGGATAATACCTAGTAACATAAAGAACACATACAAACAGAAGACTACACATCAACACAGAAAAATAATTACCTATTTAGAGCCTGAAAGTGGGGACGGATATGTTAAAAACAAATACCACAAAACAAAAAAACATGACAATGAACTCTTCCTTCCTCCAATTTCACACTTCACCCCTATGAACAGTTAGGCATATGTCCTTCCTAATTGCTACTGTGTGCATCCAAATACATAATACGATGGGATCACATGTAGATTAGAAAAGGAGCCTGCTTGTTGTTGTTGTTAAGTGTTGTCGAGTTGGTTCCAACCCATAGGGGCTTTGTAGAGACCCTGAATAGTGTTTCCAAGGAGCAGCTGGTGAACTTGGACCTCTGACCTTGTGGTTCAAACCGACTTTGCAGTCCAGCACATTAAGCCACAGAGCCACAGCAGGACTCCAGAGCCTGAGCTTTTGTGCTGCCCTAAGGAAAGTACTTGTTAAATTTCGTTGAGTCAGTTCCGAGCTATAGTGATCCTGTATAAAGTTTCTGAGAAGTAGCTGGTGAGCTCGAACCACTGATCTTGTGGTTCAAACTGACTACGCATTAACCCACAGCACCACACCAGGACTCCAAGGAACCTGCTTAGGGCAGCACAAAGCCCAGGGTCTGGCACATTGATGGAGGGATTTCCCGTGATAATGTTGCGGGGCTGGTGCAGGGCCAGCAGGTACAGTAAATCTGCTGGGGAAGGGGGCAGATTGGGGGCTGTGGTGCTTGTGGGCTGAGCCTAAAACCTTGCCTGGCCTCAGTGCAAACCTGGCCAAGGAAGAGCAGAGGCGAAACAAGAAGCGTCTGAAGAAGCGCATATTTGCTGCTGTGTCGGAGGGCTGCGTGGAGGAGTTGGTGGAGCTGCTGATGGAGCTTCAGGAACTGAGCCGCCGGCGCCGCCGGGGCCTCGATGGACCTGGTCAGTGACTGGTCCTGACTGGATGCAGGGCTGGCCCCACAACCCAGAGGGTGGGAGTGTGAAGCGCCTTGAATGCCTGGGATGCTGGATTAAGGACTTGGACATTGACTCTGAGAGCAATGGGGAACGGTGGGGAGGTTGAGGCAGGGATCGGTCATGGTCTAGCTACTGTGTGGCAGAGGACAGGGATAAAGCTGGAGGCAACTGTTGTTTAGGCAGAGCTGGGGCCCTGGCAGCAGGGTGAGAGGAAGGGGGAAAGTTCTGGGGAGCTCTTTAGGTAGTGGCATTGGTAGGACTTGGGGACTGAATGGATGTGGGGAGCTAGGGAGAGGGGGATGTCCAGGGTGGTGTCATTTTAACTTAAGTGACTTGGTGGCCTTGAGGGTCAGCAGGTTAAAGGGAAGCAATGAGTTCTATTTCAGAGACAGAGATTTCAGGGTGTCAGCACCAAGATGAGCAGTGAGCAGTGGGTGGGACTGTCCCTCAACCACGGAAGTGTGCAGAGGACCAAGGTGCCGCTGAGAAGCATAGGGAGCCAGCAGCCAACAAAGTAGACCAGAGCAGAGAGCAGAGAGCAGGGAGTGCGGGGTCAGGGAGGCCAGTAGGGCCTGGAGCAGGGTGGGGAGGTCCGAGGCTGGCTCCCATATCCTAGGTTCCTCTTCCTGTCTCCTGGGAGTCCAAGGGAACTGGGTCCCCTCCTGTGACTCCAGCCTGTGATCTGCCTGCAGACTTCCTCATGCACAAGCTGACAGCCTCGGATACGGGGAAGACCTGCCTGATGAAGGCCTTGTTAAACATCAACTCCAACACCAAGGAGATTGTGCGGATCCTTCTCACCTTCGCTGAGGAGAATGGCATCCTGACCAGGTTCATCAATGCCGAGTACACGGAGGAGGCCTATGAAGGTATCAGCCTGCAGGACGGGGCTAAGCAATGGGTGGGGTGGGGATGGCTGTGCCCACAGAGGGAGGCACTGTTGTAACTGATGAGCCCCCAACATTTACACAGACACTCTACTTTTCCTTCCTGCATTCTGCAAATAACCGTGAATGCTGAGTGCATGTCGGGCATTGTTTTAGGCACTGGGGTGCAGTGGTGAACAAGATATTGATGGCTCACTGCTCTAAGTAGGATGATTTTAATTGGAAATGCTATAAAATACTAAAAGAAAGTCTTGTGATAGAAAGTGACTGATGGGAGTCCCTGGGGGGTGCAAATGGTTAAAGGCTTAAGTGCTAACTTAAAGGTTGGTGGTTTAAGTCCATCCAGAGGAGCCTCTGAAGAAAGGTCTGGCAATCTACTCCCCCCAGTACTAGTCATTGAAAACCTTACGGAGCACAGTTCTGCTCTGACACACATGAGTTGCCCATGACTCAGCATAGGCTCCAGAGCCAAAAAGGAAAGTAACTGATGCTGGGTGGTCCAAGAACTGGCCTTTGACCCGAGGTGTGTCTGAAAAGGATCCAGAACAAGGCAAGTACAAAAACTCAGAGATGGGAACAAACTTGGCATGCTTGTGCCAAAGAAAGAAGCCAGAGCTGGGGTCACAAAGGGCATAGTGTTTCATTGTCATGATTAGTTGCTTCATTTGAGATCCAATTCTGTAGCTTCTCTTTTAGGTGGGAGCAGGGAAGGATCAGGGATAGTCTACTGCGGATAATCAGTAGGTGTGACCTCATTTGAGTGCTTGGACTCAGCAAACACCCTGTTAGGGGTTTATAGGATGCTTATAGCGTAAAAGAGAAAGAAAGAAAGAAAATCGGCTCAGGAATAGCTGGACACTGTTCTGCTGATATGTTATCGCTGTTAGATGTCTGTCAAGTCAGTTCTGACCCTCTGTACAACAGAACAAAACACTACCTGGTCCTATACCATCCTCACAACGGTTGTTATGCTTGAAGCCTGTTGCTGCTGCTGTGTTGTAAATCTATCTCCTTGGGGGTCTTTCTCTTTCTCGCTGACCCTCTACTTTGCCAAGCATGATGTCCTTCTTCAAGGGCTGGTCTCTCCTAATAACAAGTCCAATGTATGAGAGATGAAGTCTTGCTATCCTGGCTTCTAGTAAACATTCTGGCGGTACTTCTTCCAACACAGATTTGTTTATTCTTCTTTCAGACCATGGTATTTTAAATATTCTTTTCCAATACCATAATTTAAATGCATCAATTCTTCTACAGTCTTCCCTATCTAACTTTCATACATATATGAGACAACTGAAAATACCATGGCTTGGGTCAGGCTCACCTTGGTCCTCAAGCTGGTATCTTTGCTCTTGAATACTTTAAAGAGGTCTTGTGCAGCAGATTTGCCTAATGCAATACATTGTTTGATTTCTTGACTGCTGCTTCCGTGAGTATTGACGATGGATTCAAGCAAAATGAAGTCTTTGACAACATCAAACTTTTCACCATTTATCTTGATGCTATTTATTGATCCACTTGTGAGGATCTTTGTTTTCTTTGCATTGAGGTATAACCCATACTGAAGGCTGTCTTTGCTCTTCAGCAGTAAATTATTTCAAGTTCTCTTCATTTCCAGCATTCAAGGTTGTATTATCTGCATATTGCAGGCTGTTAATGAGTCTTCCTCCAATTCTGATGCCATGTTCTTCTTTACATAATCCAGCTTCTTGGATTATTTGCTCAGCATATATATTGAATAGGTATGGTGAAAGGATACAACCTTGGTGCACACCTTTCCTGGTGTTTAACCATTCAGCATTCTCTTGTTCTGTTCTAACAACTGTCTCTTGGTCTATGTACAATTCCCTTATGAGCACAATTAGGGCTCTTGAATATACATTCCTTGCAATGTTATTCATAGTTTGTGATGGTCCACATGGTCGAAAGCCTTTGCCTAGTCAATAAAGCAAAAGTAAATATTTTTCTGGTACTCTTTGCTTTCAGCCAAGATCCATCTGACGTCAGCAATGATATCCCTTGTTCCATGTCTTCTTCTGAATCTGGTTGGATTTCTGGTAGTTATATGTTGATGCACTGTTGCAACCATTTGTAAATGACCTTAAATAAAATTTTACTTGCATGTGATGGTAATGATATTGTTAGATGATTTCTATATTCCATTGGGTCACTTCTCTTTGGATTGGGCACAAGTATGGATCTCTTCCAATCAGTTGGCCAAATGAGTGAGTGCTTACCATGCTGCATCAGTTTGTTGAAATATTTCAATTTGCATTCTGTCTACACATGGAGGCTTGTTTTCCACCAATGCCTTCAGTGTCGCTTAGGCTTCTTTCTTCAGCGCCACCAGGTCTTGATCAGATGCTACCTCTTGCAATGGTTGAACATTGACCCTTTCTTTTTGGTACAGAGACTCTGTATATTCTTCTATCGTCTTTTGATTCTTTCTGTATCTTTCAATATTTTGCCAACAGACTCCTTCAATATTGTACAACGAGGCTTGAATTTTTTCTTCACTTCTTTCAGCCTGATAAATAGTGACCTTGTTCTTCCCTTTTGGGTTTCTAACTCCAGGTCATTGCACATTTCATTTTAATACTTCACTTTGTCTTCTTGAACTGCCCTTTGAAATTTTCTGTTCATCTCTTTGACTTCCTAATTTCTTCCATTCGTTTTAGCTCCTCTACACTCAACAGCAAGTTCCAGAGTCTCTTGCGAAATAGTTTTGGTCTATTTTTCTTTTCTAACTTTGTAATGACCTTTTGCTTTCTTCCTGTATGATGTTCTTCATGTCATTCCATAACTCTTCTGGTCTTTGGTCATTAGTGTCTAATGCATCCAATCTGTTCTTGAGATGGTCTCTAAATTCAGGTGAGATATAGATATCGTCAAGGTCATATTTTGGTTCTTGTGTACTTGTTTTCATTTTCTTCAGCTTCAGCTTCCTGTAAATATACTAGGACATTAAACATCTCAGCTGTTTTCTGGGTGGGAATTCTAACCTGGGTCCTTAGTTCTTCTCATAGGAGAATGTCATTTTGATTTATTATTTAAACTCTACAGATTTTCAAAAGTGTTTTGTTATATACAAAAAATGTCAAAGATTGTAAAAAACTAGAAGATACAGAGTGGAAGAGAGGAAACTCTGGGAAGGTTGCTGTAACTGAGTGTTGTTCTGTATCCTGAGCTCCCTGGCAACCAAAGCAAAGAGAAGTCAAAGGTAATAATAAACCTTAAGGTCAGTTTGAACCACAAGGCTGGCAGTTCAAACCAACCAGCCGCTCCTTGGAAACCCTACACAGGGTCTCTATGAGTCAGAACCAACTTGACGGCACTTAACAGCAACAACATATAATGTTCTCAGCTTGTCACTGTGGAGTTGACAACTGCAATACTGGTGGTTCAAACCCAGCAGTTGCTCCTTGGAAACCCTATACAGGGTTGCTATGGGTCGGAACTGACTCAATGGCACTCAACAACAACAACAATAACAATAGCAACAACAACAACCTTCTATTTACCTACTTAGCCTGCAGTACAGCTGTCTGCATTCTGTCTGCATTATTTCACCCTTCCCTGCTAAGGAACTGTCAGATGGTTTCCAGTGTTTTGCTATGACTATGTTACAGTGCACATTCTTGGCTGTGAAACTGTGCACAGATGCAAACATTTTAAGGAAAATACTTGGGACTAGAAGATCTGGGCTCAAGAAGATGTGAATTTAAAAGTGCCATAGTTACTGTCTCCAAAAGGTATAAATTTATTCTCTTCCCCTCTAGAATGTATAAGAATACTAAGTCTCTTACCTCTCACTGATACTGGATATTACCCTTCCTCTTTTTTTTGCTCTTTGGAGAATCTAGTGGATGAAAAGTATCAGCATACTAGGTTCTAATTTTCTTTTTCTTGTTTACCAGTGATTGCAAATGTCTTCCACTTTGTTCATTGGCCACTTGCATTTTCTCTTTGGAGGTGCTTGTTTTAACTTTTTCTCAGTTTTCTTTTAGATTGTCTTTTCATTGATTTGTAGGCATTCTTAATATATTACAGATTTTTAAGAACATGTTGTCCCTTAGTATGTGTCTTTCCATCTGGAGACTCTATGGGCTCTTCCAACAGGCTCCATGTTTCCCCGTCCCCTTCTCTGGGGCTCTCTTCCTGCATCACCAGGGCACCATCTACCTAGCATTTACATTACACACTGAGGCTGCACTTAAGACACTCCTTCTTCCCCTCACCCCACAGGCCACCCTGAGGACTCTCTCCTAAGGGGCTACGGACTTCCTTCTCTTCCCACCCCACTGTCCTCACCTTAGATCAGGCCTTAATATCTCGTTCCTCACAGATCTTGGCTCTTTCTAATACATCCTCCAAATTTGCAGCCTGAGTCATATAAACACATACACATATAGCCTCTCCAAACTTTGGACCCATCACTTTCCTCTTTTGGCATCTTTTGAGACTTCCCATTACCCTTAGGATAATGGTCTGAAGATGCATGGGCCCCATCCGGCCTGCTTAGAGACCACTTTCTTTGGGGTAGTTCCCCTGGCCCCCAGGGCTGTGCTAAGAGGCCACTCTGGCTACCAGAACTCTGGTACCTCATTATAAAAGAGCACTTAATTCTCAGTGGGAGTCCTGGTGTGGTACTGTAGGATTAGCACTGGACTGCATGGTGGCTCCATACGATAAGCACTGGATTGAGAACCACGAGCTCTGAGGTTTGAACCTACCAGCCGCACCATGGGAGAAAGATGAGGTTTTCTCCAAGGTGTAAAGCCTTAGAAACTTCACACAGGAATCGTTATGAGTTGGAACTGATTCGAGGGTACATAATAACAAAAAACTAACCGCAAGGTTGGCGATTCAAACCCACCAGCAGCTTTTGGAAACCCTATACAGGGTCGCTGTGAATCAGAATTGACTCCATGACACTTAACAATGACAGCAATTCTCAGTGAGGTTGAGCCCTGGGTACCACTGTAACCTCTGCCTGGCCCTGGAGCCCAGAACAGGTGTTCAATAAACATTTCTTGTATCCCTGCCAGGAGCCCTAATGGTGCAGTGGGCTAAGCATTGGACTGCCAAAGGAAAGATCAGTAGTTGCAAACCACCAGCCACTGCATGGGAGAAAGATGAGGCAGTCTGGTAAAAACTGAGTAGCTCTACTTTGTCCTATAGGTAGTGGGTTTTTGGTTCTGCATCCCTGAAGGAATGAATGAAGCAAAGAATGAGGTTGGCACTCTTGGTAGCTGGTGATATTGACAAGTAGCTCTAATTCCCCCAATATCGGAGACCAGAGAGGGGAAGGGGCTTGTCTCAGCCTCTGAGCATCCCCTTCCCCTCCCGCCCCTCCCACAGGGCAGACAGCGCTGAACATCGCCATTGAGCGGCGGCAGGGGGACATCACCGCGGCTCTCATCGCGGCTGGCGCGGACGTCAACGCTCACGCCAAGGGTGTCTTCTTCAACCCCAAGTACCAGCACGAAGGCTTCTACTTCGGTGGGTGCTACCTCTGTCCTGGGGCTGGCTTCTGAGGGTGGAAGCTCCTGAGGAGGGAATGGCCACCTCGCCCTGCTCTGCGCTCCTTGGAAACCGACCCTGATCCAAGAGCAATTGTGAGGAGGCCTATGCGAATCTCCACAAGCTGAGCCTGTAGACGTTCGAGGCCCCAGAGGACAGAGCCGGGACCAGGGAGGTGGCAGAGAAGAAGCATCTGAGCAGTACTGCAGGGGGCAGACCAGAGAGGGAAAGGCTGAGAGGGCGGAGTCCCTGTGTGTGTGTGTGTGTGTGTGTGTGTGTGTGTGTGTGTGTGTGTTGGGGGAGTGGTCTTGAAGGGGACCTGGCAACCGCCTGAACAGCGCTCTGTAGGAACAGAGACCTGGGAAGGGAGGCCAAGCAGAGATAGAAAGACAGGTTCAGAGAAAGAAATGACTTCCCAAGCAAAGTAAGGAGTTGCTGTAGATGTCCTGCCTTCCCGCTCTGAGCGCTGACGACTTTGGTGGACACCTCTCTGGACTGAAGCCAGGGAGTGACAAGTAAGAGGATGAAAGTTCCCTGACTGAAAACCTAGGGAGTCGGAAGGCAATTGGGTTGGAAGCGGTGCATGAATTGTTTGCTTAAAGTATAATCTAGACACCGTGAAATGCATCCAGTTTTGGTGTATAAGTTTGGTTCATTTTCACAAATACGTGGAATTGCATAAGTGCACCAAATTCAGGCGACTTTATAGTCAACCCTTCCTTCCACTCTGGTCCATGACAACCCCTGATCTGCTTTCTGTTTTGTTATTCACTGCGGTTGAGTGGGTTGAGACACATAGCGGACCCTGTATAAGGTTTCCAAGAGCAGTTGGTGGGTTTGAACCACTGACTGTGTGGTTAGCAGTCCAGTGCCTGTTCTACAGCGCCACACCTGGACTGTTCTGTTCTAGTGGTTATTTTAATCAGCAGGGTCTTGTCCACTTTGTCTCATGTCCTCATTGCTCACTGGAGCAAGTGTTGGGAAATATTTGTTGACTGAGATGGAGAAAGGGAACGGGTAGGGTCAGAGAGCCTAGGAGTCAAGTGTCTAGTCCTGCTGCTCTCCTGGGCTTGCTGTGAGCCACTTACCTTCTATTTTCTTAACATTTACTGACTAATGTGTATAACTGACTCCACCAAGGATTGTTCTAGGGACTCGAGTTATATTGCAGAACAAAACAAAGATTTGTGCTCTCAGGGAACTTATATTCTAGAGGGAAAGAATGACCATCAAGAAGATGTGTCTACTATGAAGGAGCTTCCAAAAGTTTGTGGGAAAATTCCATTAGCTTTCAATTCCATTTTCCACCAACTTTTAAAAGCCCCTTTGTGTTAGAAAATGGTAAGTGCTGGTGTGGGGCTGAGGTTAATGCGCTGGGCTGCTAGATCAGTTTGAATCACAAGGTCGGTGGTTCAAGCTCACCAGCTACTCCTCAGAAACCCTATAGAAGGTTGCTATGGGTCAGAACTGACTTGATGGCACTTAACAACAATTAGAAAAAAGAAATAGGAAAGCAAGTGAAAGGGAATCAGGTACTCTAGGATGGGGGAGGCAAGTTTCAGTTTTAATGGCGCACAGTAAAGATGGCTTTCATTGAAAAGGTGATGTTTGAGCAAACGCTTGAAGGAGGTGAGGGAGTAAGTGATGTAGCTATCTGGGGAGCAGCATTACAGGCGGTGGAAACAGCCTGTGCAAAGGCACTGAGGTTGGAACGTATCTGATGTGTCTGAGGGAGAGATGAGGCCAGAAGATGTAGGCCTTTTGGATTGCTGTTGAAACATGAACTTTTATTCTGGACGAGTGAGACCAGTTTGCCTGCTGTGTTGGACAGACTGTTGGAGAGCTAGGTGGAAGCAAGATGACCAGAAAGGAGGTTGTTTCAACATCTAGTTTCAGTCTTCTCCCCTGTACAAAGACAGGAAGGGAGCGAAGGACAAGGAACCTCCGGAACTAACCCTGCTGAGGTGGTTGGGATGCAGGTTCTGGTCCTGGGACTTGGGGAAGGAGCATTGCTTCAGGTCTAGATGCTTCCCTTCCCCTAGGTGAGACACCCCTGGCCCTGGCAGCATGCACCAATCAGCCTGAGATCGTGCAGCTGCTGATGGAGAACGAGCAGACAGACATCACCTCCCAGGACTCCCGGGGCAACAACATCCTCCACGCACTGGTGACAGTGGCTGAGGACTTCAAGACGCAGAACGACTTTGTAAAGCGCATGTACGACATGATCCTGCTCAGGAGTCGCAACTGGGACCTGGAGACCATGTGCAACAATGAAGGCCTCAACCCATTGCAGCTGGCAGCCAAGATGGGCAAGGCAGAGGTGGGCACTGATGGCGGTGGTGGGCAGGCAGGGAGATGGGGCACAGCCACTACTCTGCCAGCCCTGGGGGCCCTTCTGGTGACCCTACAGATATAAGTTCTGGCCCTGGAAAGCCTTAGGTCTGAAAGTGCCAACTTCAGTCCCTAACCCACCATGTTTCTATTTCCTGCCCTAGGGCCTGCTCCTCCCTGGGGCCATAGGGAAAGCCATGGGTCAAGGGGACTCAGTTTCTCCCATGCTTTGTAGCTGAGGACTTCTGCATGGTAAAGTAGCTAGCCTTCCCTGGGTGAAGGAGTCCCTGGCACAGATAAGTCAGTTCTTGAGTACTGGCTGAAAGGTGCCTTAGAAGAAAGGTCTGGTAATATGTTTCTGAAAGGTCACCATCTTGAGAACCCTATGGAGCAATTCTGCTCTGTATGCCTGGGTCATCATGGGTCAGAATTGACTTGACAGGAGCCCAGTGGGGGCTCAGTGTCTGACCTGCCGGCCTTCAACTTCCATGAAGGAAGAAGTTCCAAAATGGCTGTCTGCATTCAGAGCTACTACTCCCTGACTATGGAGAGATCGGGGCTTGCCTATAGGTTGAGCTCTGAACCAAGTCTCCAGCAGAGTGTATGGTTGTTCAGGATCCTTCCTGATGTGACTGAGGAACTTTAGCCCTAGCCTGGGACTGTGGTGAAAACTCAGGCTGGTATGTGCCCAGACCTCTCTCTGTCTGTTATCAGGGGCAGGACCCATGGCTTGATCTGAGCTCAAGGACAGGACTCAAGTTGAGGCTTCTTGAGGACAGATCCTAACTTTCTCGGAGCCCTGAGCAGTGGTTGTGATTCCTGGGAAGCAGGAGGAGTCTGGGTGGGTGGTTGGAAGGGTTGTTTAGCAGTTCCAGCTGTGCCAACCTCAGGGCAGCTGATTGGGGAGGTGGGGCCTTGAGAACCTTGAGTCTTATCCCATTGGTCAGGTCCAGGGCCCACAAGGGATCTTTTTGTTCTCTTTTTTGGGGAGGAGGAGATGGGGAATGGTTTCAACAGAGGAGGAATTATGTGCTTTTTGACCATATGGCCTACGGCTGGGTCACTCTTCGGGAGTCTCAGATTGGTTGCAAGTTAAGCCTCTGCTCTGCATGCCATTACGACACATGCTCTTCTTGCCACCCTATCCCAGGGACAAAGCTCCTGGCAGGGACCATGGCACCAGGCTCCCCTTGTTTGCCAGAGCATAATGTGCTTCCTCCGTGGCCAGTCCTGGAGAGATGCCCAACTCTCCCCCTGACTTCTTCATTCCATGTATTTGGAAAATCTTTCTATATGCTGCCATAAGCTGGCCACTAACTGGGTATGGAAGATACAGCAACGTTTAGTAGATACAGACTCTGCACTTGAACCCATCCTAGGCTGGAGCATGGGGGTGGTGGGAGATCCAGCCTTATTCCTGTTGTTGTTAAGGGCTGTTTCAGTTTGTTCGACTCATAGATACCTATGTAGGATTTCCAAGGAGTGGTTGGTGGGTTTGAACCGCTGACATTGAGGCTCAAACTGACCTTGCAGTCCAGACCATTATCCTGCAACACCAAATCCCACTGGCTAACACCACTCTCCTCACCAGGATCCTCCTCTTGGGTCTTGGTTTAGTGTTCCAGGGATCCCTGAGCCCCAGCCTAGGGTTGCTCAGGGCTCAGCTTGTGGGAAGGAGTGAACAGGAGGGCAGTGGCTCTCAGTATTACCTGCACTTTAGAATCTCCAGAAAGCTTATAAAATATGGGTACCTGGATGGGAGTCCCTGAGTGGTGCAGATAGTTAATGTGCTTGGTTACTAACCAAAATGTTGGAAGTTCAAGTCCACATAGTTGTGCTTTAGAAGAAAGGCCTATTGAGTTAATTCAGGAAACCATCCATAGAAAATTCTGTGGAGCAGAGTTCTGCTCTGACACACATGGAGTTTCATGAGTGGGAATTGACTTGCTGGCAACTGGTTTGGTTTTTGAGAGTCCTCCCCAGAGATTTGGTGCAGGATTTTTAAAGTGCTCTAATATACAGCTCTGGTAGCATAGTGGTTATGAATCAGGCTGCGAACCTTAAGGTCAGCAGTTCGAAACTACCAGCTATTCTGCGGGAGAAAGATGGGGCTTTCTGCTCCTGTAAAGATTTACAGCCTCGGAAACCCTGTACAGGGTTGCTATGAGTCAGAATTGACTCTACGGCACATAACAAACAACAACAACAATATACAGCAAGACTCCTGGTGTGTAGCCGTGGAATAAGCACTGGACTGCTTACCACAAAGTCAGTGGTTCAAACTCATCAGCTGCTCTCCAGAAAGGATACCCTATACAGGGCTGCTCTGAGTTGGAACCGACTAGACAGCACTTAACATCAACAACAATATACAGCAAGCTTTGCGGATCACTGATGTAGAGAGGAGTCCAGCTAGGATGTCCCATCAGCATCTGTCTGTAAGAAGGAGTCTTGATCTGTAAGGAGGAGTCTTGACTGAGGGTGGGGTTGGAGAAGCTGGAAAAACTTCTAGCTTCTTCTGAAGTCCAGACCCAATGGATATTGTTTCTCACAATTGTCAGGTACTGGATTCTTCATTGAACTGATGGTGCAGGGACAGAGAGCCGGTGGTACAGTTTCCTACCTTTTGATCTCTGGGTTCACAGCTCCCTGGGAGATGGGCAGAACAAGCTGGAGCTTCATGCCCATCCACAGACAAAGCTGGACCTGTATCCATGGTGTCCAGCGAAGATGGCAGCATCTTCCCAGCTGGCATGGGTAGGATGTCCTTGTCCTGTGGACCCCACATCCTGTTCTGCAGCTGACCATTGTGCCTCCTCCTGCCCCAGGTCCTGAAGTACATCCTCAGTCGTGAGATCAAGGAGAAGCCACTCCGGAGCTTGTCCAGGAAGTTCACGGACTGGGCATATGGGCCTGTATCATCCTCACTCTACGACCTCACCGATGTGGACACCACAACAGACAATTCAGTGCTGGAGATCATTGTCTACAACACCAACATTGATGTGGGTTTCCTGGGTGGGCTGGGGAAAAGGCAGGGAAGGGGGGCTGGACCTCAGATGAGGGGCCCATGCCATTAGCTTGACTGTGTCTGGAGTCTCCTACTGAGTCCCCCATTCTGAGTGGACAGAGTCCAGCACAAAAAGGCTCAACTGTTCTTAGTTAACCTTGTAGATCCTAGTGATGGGAGGTCTCTTGGATTCAGAATCCTGGGTCATGTGGCTGTGGGGATTGTTGGTGTTGACCCCAGTCTTGTTTCTTCCCCACTCTCCTGTTGGTTCTATGTGGCCAGGCTTAGAATTTCCTCTCCCCTCACACCTGGGCCCAGGTGAGGGTCACAGAGTGTACAGCGGGAGCAATCAGGGAGACCTCCCTGGAGGAGGTAAGAAGGGAGGCCGGTGAAAGTGGAGGGTGAGACAGACTTTGCAGCAAAGAACTTTCTATCTTTGGGGGAACTGAGGTCTTCATCTTTTGCATTTTACTGACAGTTAACAGAGTCTGCCCTGTACTGAACTTTCTGGACCCTCACAGTAACCTGTGAGGTTGATAGGGCAGGGATTGTTATCAGTCTTACAGACAAGGAGACTGAGGCTCAGAGAGGGCCAGGGGCTGCCCTGAGGTCACACAGTGAGGTGTTTCAGGTCCTTCTTCTGGAAGCTCCAGGCTCCTCTGATGTTTGGCTGCTGTCCTCCCACACTGAGAAGTTACCCTCCCAGCATTTCCAGCCTAACCAGTCCTTGGAACACCATGACTAGCCAGAGGTGGTGCTGACTCAGAGCTGCCTGTGGGCCCTTTGGAAACAATCCCTCCCTCCTTCTTCTTCTCTGAGGTGACTGGGATTCTTTCACCCCCAGAACCGTCATGAGATGCTGACCCTGGAGCCCCTTCACACACTGTTGCGTATGAAGTGGAAGAAGTTTGCCAAGTACATGTTCTTCTTGTCCTTCTGTTTTTATTTCTTCTACAACATCACCCTGACGCTTGTCTCATACTACCGTCCCCGGGAAGAGGAGGTGTGTGTACCCTTTTGTGGGGAGCAGGGCTCAAGGTGTGCTTAGGGTGGCCAGAACTGGAGGGATCTGGAGCATCTGGTGCAGATGGGGAAACTGAGACCAGAGGGACCAAGAGACTTGCATGGGGTCCCCCAATGCCATCCATCATGGTTTCTAGGGAAGCGGCATATATTCCCAGTGTTTAGTTGGGCTGAGCCCAGCCCCTCTTGACCCTTGTTGGGGGAGGAGCTGGAGGATTACAAGACCCAGACCTTGCCTGACCCACAGGCTGCATCTAGAGCTGAGTGAGCATTTCTGCTGTAGGGGCCACAAGTAATGGGAAAATGGGAAGGTCACTTGCACTCTGTCACTTTGGACAAATTTTCCCCAAACCACTTTGGGTCTTGGTTTCCCATCCATCACATGGGCAGAGTCTCCTGCTTTGTTTAACAGTGACCTGAAGCCCTGTGAGTGTCTGGATTTGGATGGACTTGAGAAGATAAATGCTGTGAGGCATGGAGGGTTGTTAGCGCAACTGGATCATGCTCCTCACTGGGTTCCTACCAAGGCTGGAGAAGGCAGGGGCAAGGGACCACCAATTCTTTTCTTGCTCTGTACAGAGATTCAGCTTTATACTGGCGGCTGGCCCAGCTCAGTGGTTCACATGTTTATGTGTAGTCTCTCCAGAGTTGGTGCTATCCCTGCCTCACTCCAGCCCCATCCTGACCACCCCTCTCCCTCCCTGCCAGGCCCTCCCACATCCTTTAGCCCTGACACACAAGATGGGATGGCTGCAACTCTTAGGAAGGATGTTCGTGCTCATCTGGGCCATGTGCATCTCTGTGAAAGAGGTGAGTGGGTCACCAGCCCTTTTAGACTGTTCTGTGGGGCAGGCAGGGTGAAAATAGCCTTGGCTTTGGGCCCCTCCTCTTCTGCCATTATTGCTGGGCTGCTGGAGGCCTTTGGGTGGCATTTCCTTTCTGAGGCTTAGGTTTCTAAGTACAAGTTGTTGTTGTTGTTAAGTGCCGTGTAGTCAATTCCGACCCATAACGACCCTGTATAGGGTTTCCAAGGAGCAGCTGGTGAGCTTGAACCCCCGACTTTGCAGTTCAAATGACTTTGCAGTCTGACACATTAGCCCACAGCACCACACCAGGACTCCAAGTACAAGTGGGAATATATAAATAAGACAGACAAATTTTATCTACTCCATCTATTTTTCTGTCCATATACCATTTACCTACACCTCAGCTACTCACTGACCTATCCTCCTCTCCCCACTGCCATTCATTCATCCAGATCCCTCTCCTTGGTCATCTACCCAGTTAATTACTTACCTACTTGTATGCAAACTTCCACCCACTTATCCAAATACCCACTCATATGTATCTATCCATCCATCCTTCACCCAACCAGCATCCATCCACCCATCCATTCATCTAATCAACAAATATATTCTTGTTGTTGTTAAGTGCCATCGAGTTGGTACCAACTCATAGTGGCCTTATGCACAACAGAATGAAACACTGCCAAATTCTGGGCTAATCTGACAATCATTGCAAAGCCTGAGCTCATTGCCGCTTCCACTGTGCTAATCCATCTTGTTGAGGGTCTTCCTCCTATTCTTTGGTCCTCTACTTTATCAAACATGATATTCTTCTCCAGGGACTGGTCCCTCCTGATAATATGTCCGAAGTATTAGAGATGAACTCTATCCATCCTGGCTTACAAAGAGCACTCTGGCTGTACTTCCAACATAGATCTGTTTGCTCTTTTGGTCTTCGATGGTACTTTAAATATTCTCCTCCAATACCATAACTTAGATGCATCAATTCTTCTACAGTCTTCCTTACTCACTGTTCAACTTTAGCATGCATAAAAGGGTATTGAAAATGCCTTGGCTTGGGTCAGGTGCACCTTAGTCCTCAAACTGACATCTTTGCGCTTCTAAATATGGGTCATACATACCAGGGTGCTTCAAAAATTTGTGGAACAATTATGTTATCTTTTAATCCAGTTTTCCATTAATCTATCTATCAGATAGATGCAGTTTGCCCTCATTAAGTTCACAGTCTGGTAGGGGACACAGACATGTAAACTTTAAGGTAGACTGTGAAAATGGCCCTAAGCTGGATTCAAATTAGCTCTTGGAGGAAGAGAGATGCCTTTTATCTGGGGAATCAAGGAAGGCTTGAAGATCTCAGTCTTTGGGGAACATCCCTGCCTCAGAACCCTGAGTGAGAGACAGGAAGGGCCACATCTAGGAGGCACAGTTTTCCTCCTTCTCTTAGGGCATTGCCATCTTCCTGCTGAGGCCCTCGGATCTGCAGTCCATCCTCTCAGATGCCTGGTTTCATTTTGTCTTGTAAGTAGACCTGCTTCCTTGTCCACCACCTCACAGGCCAAGCTAAAGTCCTACTGTGCCCTTTTGTGTCCTTCTGTCATGTCCCCAGAGCCCATTCCTTTTGCCACAGTCACAAGGCCAGGACCCTCCTAGTAAGAGAGGTATGTGAATTCCCATGGAGAGGACAAGACAGAACCATAGAACAGTGCTTACCAACTGTTTTCAGGTGTTGGCTGACTCATCCACCTTGCCACATAACCCCACGTGGCAGGCAGCATGGAGAAAGCATAAAGACACTTGCAGTCCTGCTTACCTTGTTATAAGGGGATGTTCCAGGGCAGCCCCTTTTAGATACATGGCATCTAGAAGTCACCATCTGGGACCCTGGCAGGTCGGAACTGGAAGATACCCAAGAAATCATTGAGTTTCAGCTGTAGGCATGACATCCCGGACTCAGAGCAGGGAAATGAGTCACACGCACGGGAGCTTTAGTGGTGTTGGACCAAGTCTTTAGCTTCTTAGTCGTTTTCACCCCAGGCTCATGCCAGGCTGGCTACCCTAGGGCATTAGCCAGAAAACCCAGCTTAGCAGCCTGTCTGAATGAGGTCATAGGCAGCTGACATCAAAGGCTATGTGACCCCGTCTCTAAATTAACAAAGGCTGATTCAGCATTGTTGTCATGTGAGTGGAAACGAAGCTGCAGCTTCGAATGAAGAATCCTGGGCTCTATAGCTCTGTAGACCCCACCTAAGCCCCTCATCTGAGCATCTGCTAGGCTGGGTCTATAGGACCTTGAGTATTGGCTTGATGTTTCCAAATATCTAGGTGTCTTATTAAGTATGTGTCTGCCTTCTCGAGGCATGATTCAAGTTTTCCATCCCTGTGAGCATGTGAGCTCCCCAGGTACTATAGTTAGAGTATGGTGCAAACCACATGTGAATCAGTCACCTTTGAGAAAGTATGATGATTCCAAAGAAAAACTCGTTGATACAAGGGAGCTTCAAAAAGGTTGTGGAAAACTGGAATGAAAAGCTAATTTTCATTTTTCCATGAATTTTTGAAGCCTCCTCGTATAGCCACAGGCTTGCATTGCATTGTTCTGCTTCTCTGCTTTTTGTCTTGTTAGCAGAGACAAATGAATCTCAGTCCCAAGTGAAACAGAAAAACAAATTTGCCACTGTCCTAACTTTAAGTCTTAAATAGGCAAATATATAAATACATATATGTTGTTGTTGTTAAGTGTTGTCAAGTCGGTTCTGAACCATAGCAACCCTGTATGGGGTTTCCGGGGAGCGAATGGTGAGCTTAAACCACCAACCTTGAGGTTCAAACCGACTTCGCAGTCCAGCGTGTTAACCCACAACACCACACCAGGACTCCACACATATGTATACATGTATTTATATATTTATTATGAAGATTGCCTGATGTTATAAGCAAAAAGTTTTTTATCCAGCTGACTGAATAACTCATTCAGATAGCTGGTGTACAGACTTTGATCTTTTATGTTTGTATATAGTATACTTTTTTTTTTTTATTAAATGTAGTAGATTTTGAGGGACTTTTGCTATGTTTGGCTTATTAGTATAGATGTCAACAGCTTTGCCATTTAAAAATGCAATCATTCACCAGATGTTCAGTCCACTCCAGTGAGTCCCAAATAAGAAATCATATGGGTGACTTAAAAATATATAACATTCTGAGCTACACAAAAAAATATATAACATTCTGAGCTATATTTCAGGCCTTCAGGATCAGAATCTTCTGGGGCCCAGGGAGTCTAATTTTTAATAAGTCCTTGTCAGCTGCAGCCAACCTGTGACTGGCCCCTGACTTGACCTTGGTAACACTCTCTACAAGATTGGGTTTTAGTCACAGTTGAGTGGATTTGAAGCAGCCTTGTCTGTCTCTTCAGCATCAGTCACTGGGGCCGCCAACCAGTTTAAGGGGCTTAAGGGTGGTCTGGGGAATTTGACTCTTTCTGCCCTGATGCTGAGGAGAAGTAAGTAAGGCCCTTGTCTCCTGTGTCTCCTGAACAGTTTTATCCAAGCTGTGCTTGTGATACTGTCTGTCTTCTTGTACTTGTTTGCCTACAAAGAGTACCTCGCCTGCCTCGTGCTGGCCATGGCCCTGGGCTGGGCGAACATGCTTTACTACACACGGGGGTTCCAGTCCATGGGCATGTACAGCGTCATGATCCAGAAGGTGCGTTTGGAGTGGCTGAGGGCCAGAGATGTGCAGGTGGGAGGGCTCTCAGGGAATGTCAGATGGGAAAACTGAGGTCTGGAGAGAAAAAAGGATTTGCTCAAGGTGAAGATCACTGCTCTTTCTCTGTAACGCCATGGTCTCTCTTTGCCTTTGGTCAGATTGCAAATGTCCAGAACTTCAAATGTCAGGGTTTGTTGGGCATTAGGAAGAGGTACACTTTAGCTCTGTAGCTAAACAGTGGTGTGTTGGTGAATACGTAACAAATGCCTCTCTGGGAACATATACAGGCATAAAATATATATGTACAGAGTCCCTGGGTGGTATGAAAGGTTAACACACTCAGCAGCTGGCTGAAAGGTTACAAGTTCAACCTAGAGGCTTCCTGGAACAAAGACCTGTGATCTAGTTCTGAAAAAATTTGTCAGCGATACACAGCTCCACTCTGACACACATGGACTTGTTATGAGTTGGACTCAATTCTATGACAACTCTATTTCAAAGAAAATGTCTTTATTTATTATAAATTTTTACTATATAAAAGGTGTAGCATTCAATTTATGAATAATAATAAATATGCAATATTATTTATTATAATTTCCACAAAATTCACGAAGTGCTTGTTGATTTTTGCTGAATTCTTGTACCTGTTGTCAACCTGTGGTTACAACGGACAAGAATGTAGTGTTCTGACATGAATGTTGGTTGATATTTTTCTTGGCTTTTTTGGAAACCCTGTACAGGGTCGCTATGAGTCAGAACCGACTCCACGGCACATAACAACAACAAGGGATAAGATGGAAGTGAGACAATGACGACTTAATGTTGAAACATCACTTGTCTGTCAATCATGTGAGCAGTAGTTGGCAAATGCTAGAAGACAATTTCATCAATATTTTTTTGTTATGCACATCTAAAGGCAACACACAGAACACCTTTTAAAGTTTAATCTACATTAAGATTTTTTTCCATCATTTTCTTAATTCTAAATCTAGGCACTTGACAAAATGAGTCAAAAATTGGTAGCGTTTACCAATTTCTGTGGCGTCCTGGTGTGGCACTGTGGGTTAATGTGCCAGACTGCAAAGCCATTTGAACTGCAAGGTCAGTGGTTCAAGCTCACCAGCTGCTCCTCAGAGTTGCTATGGGTCGGAACCAACTCGATGGCACTTAACAACAACAACCAATTTCCATGGTGCAAATTCCTCCCCCATGGTTGATTTCCAGCTACCAACATGCAGCTAATGTGTAGTTAAGAGCAGATATGTAGTAATACCATTTTATCGTATTTCCACTATTAGATACAAGACACAGAAATAACCTCAGAGCAGAGAAAATAATAAAATGTAGTAAAATAACTAGAAAGTGATGAGTTTCAAATAGTTATCATCTTTATTTTTAATATGTTGTTGTTGTTAGTGCCATCGAGGTCAGTTGCCACTCATAGTGACCCTGTATAGGGTTTCCAAGGAGCCGCTGGTGAATTTGAACCACTGACCTTGCAGTTCAAACTGAGCTCAAGGTCGAGTGCTTATCCTCCGGCGGCGCAACACCAGGACTCCTGTTTGTAATATAACTTACTTTGGTTATAAATTCACACAATTTAATTTCAATTATGACTGTATTTAACGACCAGCTTGCCAAAATCACAAAAGTTTAACAATTAACTCTTGTGAGCCAGCTCCAACACACCACTGTCCCTAAGATTCTAGATGTGAGGCCCTGTGAAGAAAAGCTGCCATGTAGAGAGAGTGGATCAACAGGGCTGAGACTGATAGTGATCTAAGAGGCTTGAGGGAGGAGAGGATGTAAGTGTAAGCAGGCAAGGCAAAGACTTCCTGGAGGAGGTGGAGCCCAGATTTGAGCTTTGGAGAGCCAGGAGGACTTGGCTGGGGAGAAGGAGCATGGTCTGAGTAAAGGCTTGGGTTAGGTGGGAACTAGGAGAACCTGGGAAGAAATAATCTTACTATGGAGTGCATACGCGCTCAAACTTACGCTTGAATCATTTGGTTTTTTGCAGGTCATTTTGCATGATGTTCTGAAGTTCTTGTTTGTATATATTGTGTTCCTACTTGGATTTGGAGTAGGTAATTGATTTATTAAATCATGGTAACTCCCACTTTTGTAGAGCACTTTATACAGATGTCATAATGACAAAGGGCATAGAAGCTTCAGCAGCAATTACACCTTGTTGTGTGCCAGGTAGCATCTACTTTTCTCAATAACCCGATCAAGCAGGCCTCGTCATCATCAGCCCCACGCACACGCATGCGTATGGAATCCCTGAGTGGTGTCATTTACGCACAGAGCAGGGAGGCCCGGTGCGGCGCGCTGTACGTTAACTTTGAGCCGCAAGGTTGGTGGTTCCTCAGAAACCCTATGCACAGTCACTGTGAGTCAGAACCGACTTGACAGCACTCAACAACAACAATAACATGCACACAGTGAATAAGAGTAACAGGCCTGGTTTGAGTCTCTGTCTTGGTTCCCTTGCTGTTTTTGTTGTTGTCAAGTGCCGTCAAGTCAGTTCCAACTCATAGCAACCCATATATATATATATATGAGCTTCAAAAAGTTCATGGAAAATTGGGATTAAAAGATAAGAGAATTTTTCCACTAACTTTTTGAAGCCTCTTTGTATCTATGAGAAACATTATCTATTGAGTACATGATCACTGGAACCATCAGCACCAGTGGGTCTGGGTTGGAACCTAAACATTGCATAAGCTCTCTTGGTGATTGACCAGATTTGAGGAAAGCTTAATCTAGTTTCACTGAATACAGGGTCTAGGTTTCATACAGTAGCACAAATGAAAAAAACCCTAAGACTTATGGGAGTCCTTAGTTTAGAATCAGTGGTGTGATATGTAGATGTTGAAGTATGACTTTAAGTCTCATTAAAAGGAGTACAGGGCCTAAGGCAAAGGAGGTGAGGCTCCCCTCTTGAAAGCTCTCCATTTTACAGCAGAGGAAACAGTACAACCTGAGTTCTTGTTTAAGCGCTGCATAGAGAAATATGGTTTTATTTTTCCAATCTAGCTTTTCATTAAAAGTGGTCATTGGCATTTATAGACAGCTTTTCTCAGTCAAACTCTGCTTGTTTATTTGTTTCTTCAGCTGCTCTTTTATTCCTCTGTCCATTTAATTTTCCCATTCACTCATTCATTCATACATTCAATCAGCTTTGTCCATAAGGAATTTACCATAAACTATCACGAGGAGACTTAGATCTCACAGTTTTGGGGGAAGGAAGAAGGGATGCAGGAACTCAAAGCTTTGTGGGGAACTAAAGACACACACAGAGATTAGCAGTGGTGGCCATGGTTGTATTGTGGGCTAGAGGAGGGAGAGAGGAGCATGGGCTTTGTTGGCAGAGGCCTTTCTGCAGGAAGCCAGAGTAGAGAAAACAGCTGACAAAGCTTCCAAGAGGGGCTAATGCTTGAGATGGAGTTTAAGTTTAGAGAAAAGGAAGCAGCAGGTGTGTGTGTGTGTGTGTGTGTGTGCATGCCCAGGCAGGTGAGCACATGCAAGTAAGCATGAGCTTGTTGGGTAATTAACCAGGCAGATAGGCTGAAGGGAACATTCTGTCATGTCATCGCAGCCTTGGCTTCACTGATTGAGAAGTGTTCCAAGGAGAACAACGACTGCAGCTCCTACGGCAGCTTCAGTGACGCGGTGCTGGAGCTCTTCAAGCTTACCATAGGCCTGGGCGACCTGAACATCCAGCAGAATTCCAAGTACCCCATCCTCTTCCTGTTCCTGCTCATCACCTATGTCATCCTCACCTTTGTCCTCCTTCTCAACATGCTCATTGCCCTGATGGGAGAGACCGTGGAGAACATCTCCAAGGAGAGCGAGCGTATCTGGCGCCTACAGGTGGGTCGAAACCTCCATGGGGAGCTGGTGGAGGTCTGTGTTGAGCATGTGATCACTGTAACTATCAGCGCCAGTGGGTCTGGGTGGGAGCCTGGTAATTGCATAAGCTCCCCTGTTGATTGGCCAGGTTTGAGGAAGCCATTATCTAGGTTCCTTGAATATAGAGTCTAGGTTTCACACAGTAGCACAAGTGAGAAGACAACTAAGACTTATGGGAGTCCTTAGCTTAAAATCAGTGGTGTGATATGTAGATGTTGTTGAAGTATGATCTTAGGCTGCATTAAAAGGAGTATAGGGTCTAAGACGAAGGAGGTGACATCCTGTTCCACTCCATCCTGACCTCAATATTCCTTACATGCTGTGAGTCTCACATACTGAAGGATATCAGCCCATAGAATAGGTCCACTAATAATGGTCAGGTTTGGAAGGGAACTAGAAGCCATGTCTTACGAGGAATGATTGTTGAAACCAGGGTTGGGGGTATGTGAGAGCTCCTTCAGACATCAGGAGCCCTACCTGTGAAAGAAGGAACAGTTCCCTTCCAAAGCCCCAGAGAGCAGAAGTGATGCAATGGGGGTACCACAGGTAGAGAAGCTTTTATCAGACACAAGACATTTCTAACAGTTAGGGTCGTCTTAATCGGAGACTGTGACTCTTGTTGATAATGTTCAGGAGCGAGTAAACGGATTTATTGCCAGGAAAATGGCTGAGGAAATTCCAAGTTACGTGGCTTCAGAACCTCTCCTTCACTATGGGATTCCAGAACCCCACAATTTTCAATTAGGAGTGATTGGATTTCCAGGAACATGATTTATATTATATTTTAAATGACTTGAATAGCTCAAAATTTCTGCTTTTTCACTTTAGAATTCTGTTGATTACCTGAAACCTCAGGAACCTATGCAGGGAACATCCAATGGGGGTTGAGTAGGCTGTTTGGGTCTATGCGTGTGTGTGCACACATGTTCATGGATGCACACACTCATTGGAGTCATGCCCCTGGGCTGACACTGAGTCATGGCTGCTCAGCAACATGCTTAGGCTTGTTTATTTCCCCAGAGAGCCAGGACGATCTTGGAGTTTGAGAAAATGTTGCCAGAATGGCTGAGAAGCAGATTCCGAATGGGAGAGTTGTGTAAAGTAGCAGAGGATGATTTCCGACTGTGCTTGCGGTAACAGGGGAAAGGGCTCTTGGGGGAGGGTAAAGAGAGAAGTATTGGTCAGCAGGGCCGCAGAGAAGCAGTGTGTCTACTTGGTTGCCTTAGCCATAGCCGCAGCATGTCCTGGCCTCTTTAGAAGAGGGAGTTTGCTTTTGTTGGGTTGCTGGGTGAGGGTTCCCCAGCTTCAGTAATGGGAGGGAAGGAAACCCTGTCACCAGCAGTCTCCCTCTGTCCATGTGGTTTAAAAAAGTTTTGCCAAACTTGCTGTCTTGTCCTCTACCTTGTATGGGTTCACGTAACATCAGGGGCCTGTGACACATTTTGTCAGTGGCAAAACTGAAAGCGAGACAGTGACTTTAGACAGATCTCCACCTTTTAGTTTTTTAAAAATATACTCACATATCCCATGACCAACTTTTCTCATCTAGTACACCTATTCCTACCCCCTACCTGACTGCCTCACCCTACAGATCCCCTTCTTTAAGTAGAACCTTCTCTGATTGAAAGCCCCATCCCCTGGGGTCCATCATTTCTTTGCCAATTTTGACAGCCTCATTCTGAATGTGAATTTAAGGCTTGTAACCCCACAGCCTGGACACTGCCCTCTCTTACTAAAAATTGTTAGCTGTCATTGAGTTGATTCTGACTCATAGCGACTCGTGTGTTCTACAGTAGAATTGCTCCGCAGGATTTCCTTGGCTGTAGCATAGTGGTTACAAATCAGGCTGCTAACCTTAAGGTCGGCAGTTCAAAACTACCAGACATTCCATGGGAGAAAGATGAGGCTTTCTGCTACCGTAAAGATTTACAGCCTCGGAAACCCTGTACAGGGTCACTATGAGTTGGAACCAACTCCACGGTACGGTACTTAACAACAACAACAATCTTTATGGTGGGTCACCAGACCTCTCTTCCCTGAAGCTGCTGGGAGTGGGTGGGTAGTGACAGGTTTGAACTGCTAACCTTTAGCAGCAAATCCCAAACCACTCCCACCATCCAGGTTTCTGTTTTGAACTTTAACCTCCTTTTAGTGCAAACTTAGCCCAGCTAAACCCTCCCTGCCTGTCTGTCTTCCTTCCCGGTGGGCTAGTCAAGCTAGTCAGGTCCAGCTGCTGGTGTCTGAAGATAGACTCTTTATACCTCTCTCAGCAACTTACAAGGAGCTCTGGTAGCGTAGTGGTTACGAATTGGGCTGTGTACCTCAGGGTCAGCAGTTCGAAACTACCAGCTGTTCTGCAGGAGAAAGATGAGGCTTTCTGCTCCCATCAAGATTTACAGCCTCGGAAACCCTGTACAGGGTCACTATGAGTCGGAACCAACTCCACGGCACATAACAACAACAACAGTAATTTACAGCCTTTCTGATCCCTGTACTCTGGGTGAAACATTGAGCTCTTGAGACCCAAGAAAATGGGACCTTGGGCAAGTTTCAAACCCTAGCCATGCTGACTTGACCAGGTAGGGGCAGGAGTGCTCTGGACCCCTGGGTTGGGCAGAAGGGGAGCTGGGTAACCCATCTGGAAATAGGACATCTCCAACTGGGCACTATTGGTTTGACTTTAATGAAGTCAACTTGTGAAGTATTATGGCATTTACAGGAGAACGATTATCTCATTTATAGGATCAATGAGGTGAAATGGACAGAATGGAAAACACATGTCTCCTTCCTTACCGAGGACCCGGGACCCGTGAAACGGACAGGTACTGTTGAGGCAGTGTGGGGACCACATCTGTCAGACCCAGTAACATTGGGCAAATCAACCCCAAGGGCCCTGGTTTTGCCATCTATAAAATAGGAGGGTTGAGTTAAATTTGGTCTCAGGCTGCTTCCAGTTCACATTTTTAAGCTGTAGTTAATAACTTCTAAAAATCAGATGATGCACTGGAGATATGGGAATGCCCAGTGTGGACTTCTGTATTTTTAGAATTATTGTTTGTTTGTTTTTTTAATAGCAGATCTCAATAAAATCCAAAATGTATCCAGGAGCAACAGTAAAACCACTCTTAATGCGTTTGACGAAATAGATGAATTTCCAGAAACGTCGGTGTAGAAGCAGAACCCAGAGCTGGTGTGAGCTCAGGCTGTCTGATGCCTCACGCTGGGTTCTGGACTCCCTGTTGAGGAGCTTCGCAGAGGGATGGGAGCCTGGCTCTGCCTCGGAGGAATTGAATGCACCCACAGGCTGAGTGGGTGATTGAACTGAGAGGCAAGGGTCAGTTTGTCTGAATGGAAAACACCCTGGATTTTGTTTTTTTGGCAAACCCGTGGCCAGCACTTCTGCTCCTGAAGTCTCCGGAAGCCCTGGGTGAGGTCTCAGATTTGACTGGAAGAGAGGAGTGGCGAGGAAGAGGAGTCTTTCCTGATGCAACGAGTCCTTGACAGCCCCTTGCGCCACCACAATTCCACCTCACACGTCCCATCGTCTCCTTTCCTCTAACTGGGCTGCCATATTTTGTGGGCACCTCTTGATCCCACCCCAGAAGTTTCGGCGGGCTGAGCTAAGAAGAACATCCAGGGAGAGGAGGGACATGAGCTATGGAAATATACTTCTGGAATCTTCAGGGAATAGGAAATCATCATCAGAATGAGAGTGCCCTTGGTACCCAAAGGCTCAAACTGTCCAAACTGTCTCACAATGAGAGGTTTTTTTTTTTAAATAGCATAACTAACAGAATTTTTATTTTCAATATAGGAAAGACATTTCAGTTTTGAGTGACTGCCACTTCTGATGAAGTATGTATGTACTTTTTAAAAGTTGAGACATTGCTTTTGGGCTTTTAGACTGGATATAAGTATTATATCCTCAAGTTGGCCACCGCAAGGCCAAAAAGTTTTTCTTTATATACACAAAAGTCCACATGGGACTTGCCAAGCAGGTCTCCCCATTGGATGACCGTGTGAAAGGGCCTGACTCTTTTGCTTGTCCCAGTCTTGCAATAATGTATGCTTCTGAGCCATACGATAGTGGCTTTGTCCGAAACAGAAGTATCAGCCGACCTATTTATATGGCTGTAAATCCCAGAGATTACTATTATACCTTAGTATTTCTCATCAGGGGGAATTTAGCAAAATATCTAAATTGCTCTTGAGGTTTTTTTTTTTAAACTGTGAATTTTGACATTGAAAGGGGAAAACTTGTAAGAGAAGACTGTTTGCCAAGACTTGGGGCTTGTTTTTAGATCCCCATCCTCTGTGGTTTTTTTTTTGTTTTGTTTTGTTTTGTTTTTCCCCTCTCTCCCAGAAATTAAGCAAAGTCAATTTTGGGGCAGAAGTGACATGGAAAGTCAAGGCAATTTTCTAAATAACTGGAGTCTAAACTACCAGAAAATTCATTCTGCCCCAGTAATCTGGTAGAAGGTGTCATATGAGAACTGTTGAGGTGAAATTATAAAAATACTTATCATATATCTTAATATTAAATAACTTTGGCCTTTAGATACTAAACAGTTGGCTGATTCATCTGACTTGAGGCCAGCAGAGGAGTCCAGGCCAAGCAGTTCACTCTGGGCCAGTTTCCTCACTCTGGGCCCTTTATGTGCTAGCGTAGCTGAATGGATAGAAACTTGGCTTCATGCCCCTGATGGGTCATGTGTTAGAGGCTCCACTTCCCTGCTTGACTGGGAGAACTGGGGGTGGGTAAAGGGTGCAACCCCCTACACTCTCAGCTGTAAGCTATAGTGGGTAGACCTAGCTTAGTTGTAAATAAGTTGAAGGCACTAGGGATGTGCCATCCAGAAGAGAAGATTTGGGAGGGACTGTCATGAAGACAGGGGAGCAGATGTGTTCCAGATTGTAGTAACTTGGAACAAAAGCTGAAATTTCAGAGAGCAAGATTTTGGCTCAATTCACTTCAGTAACTGCTCCAGATATTTGTGGTGTTTAAGCAGAATCTGGTTGAACACTTATTTGGGGTATTGCTGGGGATCCTAATTGGATGAATGTTATGGTCCTGGTTAACCTGGAGGTCTTAGGAATTAGCATGCAGTGTCTGGAGTTACCTACCTGAATTTATGTTGTACAGGTATCCTGGACTCAAGGACAAGAGTTTGGCTCAATGGCACCATACTCCACACTTTGGAAATGGAAGTTCCAGAATTGCTTTGGCTTAGGTACTAGATACTTAGATACTTGGATAAAACCATATAGCTCTCCATTTTCTACTTGGAGGTGTGGCTAATAGAAATCATTAATTCTATCTGTCTTCTTATACATTATGAAGAGCTGCTTTCCTTTCTGTGGATATGGATGGGATCTTTTGGCAAGACTGTTTTCATACTGAGTGTTCTTCCAAACAGTGGCATCCCCTAAGCACGTTTAGTCGAGGTGGTCTGCGCCTAAGCAGGTGTATCAAGGATGAAGCAATGAGTTGAAGAGCACTAGAGCCAGTGCCCTCAGTTTACACCTAGAGACAAAGTGCAGAAAGGAGAGTAGACTTGCTTAAGACTCTGATACCTAGAAAACCGCAACAGAAGTTTGTTGAAGACAGGGTGTCTTGATTCTCGGTCCATGAATTTCTCCCTGTACCATTAAAAAAAAAAAAAATGTAAGCATAGTTATTCAGTAAATTCAAGTTCTTTATGTTTGGCATATGCTATGGCACTAGGGTTTTTTGTTCAGATGATTCCCGCTAGCTGTCCAAAGCATTCCTATAATTCCTATGATTGGTTTAAAACTCACTTACCACACTAAGCCCATGGGCATATAGGAACATCTTAAAAGTTCACGATTTACATTTCAGTAATTTAAAAGGAGGATGTTTTCCACAGATAGGATTTCCCATGCTCATTTTACTGTTTTGGGCTGGGAATTTCTTTTTTAGCTAAACTCTGCCTCAGGAATAATTCTTGACATTATAAAGTGTATCTATTTGGGATACAAAAGAATACTGACCTTCCTCCCTGGAATGTGGGAGGAGGTGTGTGAGGTTGTGCTGTGAAGTCTTTATGCTCTCCAAAGGCGCCTGCTGGAGAGAGCTCAGTGTTATTGACACTTCCCTCCCTTCCCTTCCTCGAGGTCTGGGTGTCCCATGTCCTTTTGTTCTGGACAGGGCCCGGGATGGGCCATCATCCAGTCTGTAAGGCATACTTGATTTTGCATTGATTTACATGTGTTTACTGTGATCTTGGTCCCAAACCCAGAATTATCACTTCCTTCTCATTGAATGTTCATGTTCCTTGTAAACTCTAATTGACATACCTGTTGTGTGTATGTGTATGTGTGTGTATAAAACTCTATGTTCAAGCACAAAATCATAAGAGTAACAACATTTTAGTGCCATTGAAGAAATGCTTTTTTTTTTTTGGATTTCTAATAAATATTTATTTTGACTTGTTATGGCTATGTTTTCTCCTTGTCTTAGGTGTGCAGATGTGAAGGCCTACTAGAAATTCTAGAGTGCTCTTTAGAAGGAGTGGAAAAAGCAAAGGTCACTTTTCAGACTGGAAGCACTGTTCTTGGTCCTGGCTCAGGGATACAGCTAGTTTGCTATTGTACATGTCAGCATTCAACAGTGCCTTCATGTCCACTTCAAGAGGCAGCCAGAGGGTTAAGTCAAGTGCCCACATGCTCATAGTTAGAGGTTCATATGACCCCCAAGTAGTGTCCTATTGTGCGGTTCTCAGCTTTGCTATAAACTCAGGGCTCCATCTGGAGACTGGAAGGTATAAATCCCAGGACCTTTATGAGGAGGAGGCAATGAGAGAATGGCTATGAAAGAACCTTATCACATGTATTTGTGCCCTTTTTATTCTTTTGAGTTATTTTATAAGGATGACAGTTCCCAACTTGAGCATCTTGACATTCTGCTGTCTCTTTATGAGTCGCCAAACTTACAAATCATTTACTAGTAAGTGATTAATTGTTTACTTGATTTAAAGATTCCCATATTAACTGGCTTCACTGAAACGTGTCTTCTTGAATGGCAAAGAAATAAGTGTTGGACATGATCCACATCCTAGCTTACATAGGCTGCCAGCCCATAATCTTGGAATGTGCCATCCATGGGAATATTGTGGGTGGAATCAGAGAAAAACAAGTTGAATCCTTTGTTGTAGGATTTGTTTCTGGAAGTGGAATGGATCAAGGAGTATCTAACCACACTTTCCAGCTTGGGAGAAATCTTTGTGGCCTTCAGATGTCCCTCAATCTCTGAACCTCAAGTTCACCATCTGTTAACTGGGGATATGATACTCACTAAAACAATGTAACTTGTTACTGAGACAATCAACATGAGTGGACAAGCTTTATAAATAGCGAAACAATCTCAAAGGCTGAAAAAAATTTAACACAATTCTTTGGAAGGTAATTTTTCAACAGAATCAAGAGCCATAAAATTTTCATACTCCTTGGTGCAGATGGAAAAGGTAGCACCAGGCTACCTCTCTGACACTAATAAATAGTATATTCTGCAGAAAGGAAGGAATTCAGACCAATGCAGCAAAAACATGTATGAGGATTTAAAACTGAACGTCTAATATTATGAACAGTCAATTTCTTCCATTAAATATTCATTGAGTGCCGACTATCTGGTACATAACATATACTGTCTCGAGGTCTTTCTATTCCCAGCTTCATGTCTCTTTTCTATTTTCCAGTATTATTTCCGAATGATCACAATTCTTAAACCTGTGACTTTACTTCCTTTTCAATAGCAGCAGTTGGTTTTGTTTCCTACTTTACAGTGAAAACAGAAACCATCGAATGGAAACACCTTCAACTTTGGGCCACTAAACCTATAGATTTATCTACATTTATGTTTCCTGAACATTGCAAATTCAACTTTTCCCAGGTATGCAATTTATTGACAGCAATGAACAATAATCGGCAGTGCAGACGTAGCAGACTTACCCTTAATCAAGACAAGCTTTCCAGCATCATTAATGGCCCACTTTCCACACCCTCCCACCCCTGGTAACCACAGGTCAACTTTGGTCTCTATGTTTTCCCTTTCTTCTCTTTCTATGGAAGAAAGGTCATGTAATATTTTACCTTTGTGATTGACTTACTCAGCACAGTATCTTCCAGCTCCATTCATATTGTAGCATGCCTGCATCAAGATTTAGTTTCTCCTACTAGCTGAATAATATTCTATTGTCTGTATAGACCACTTATCTGCTAATGGGTGTTTAGGTCGTTGCTACCTGAACTTTGGATTCCCTCCCTGGCCCTGCCCCTCACCTAATGCAATGAAATGGCGGGACCTCACTCTATTTCCTGGAAATTTCTTATGTTGCTTCAAGACGGTGGGAGTTATTCTTCTGTGTAGTAGATCTATTCTAAAAACTAACCTCTGTGCTAAACTTTTTAGTCAATTTGTAACTAATTTTGTGACTCCAGAATTGTTCCCCTCAATTGGATTATAGAAATCCCCACTCAAAGGAGCCCTGGTAGTGCTGTGGGTTAGGCATTGGGCTGCTAACTGCAAAGTTGGTAGTTTAAGCCAGCTAGCTGCTCCATAGGAGAAAAGATGAGATTGTCTCATGGTCTCGTAAATTCTATATAGAGTATCTATGAGTTGGAATTAATGGCAGTGTTTTTTTAACCCCCCAGTTAACCCCAGTGTTTTGGTTTACTAGTTAAGGCCCTATTCTTTCTCATGGCCAATCTGAGCAAACTTCAGTCCTGTGGAGACCTAAAGACTCCCTGGATGGCACACACGTCTATGTATTTGACTTCTGACAAGTTTGTGGTTCAATGCACTCAAATGTGCCTTGTAAGAAAGTCCTGGCAATTCAACTCATGGCTACCCTGTATAGGGTTTGTGAGGAGTGATTGGTGAGTTTGAACAGTTTGCACTTAGCAGTCCAGTGCATATCTTTCAGCACCACCCAAGAACTCCAACACAGGCATATGGATTATGATTCACAACATGTATATTTTGGGGCATACAATTGAATCCCTAACACCATTCTTTTTGGGAAATAGTTAACTGATTGATAGTGTTGGGCAGAATATTCCAGGGGTGACTGAGGAAAAAAGGCAGGCAGGCAAAGAGAAGGCAAAGACACTGATGGAATATGAAGAAACTTTGGAAGAGAAGGCATGTTTGAGCACAGCCATTTGTTCAACTAACCTTTACTATGTATTTATTAGATTTCAGATACTGAGAAAGACTTCTTAAGAAGAGATGGCGGCAGAGAGGGGCGTTTAGATAAAAGAGGAGTTGAGTTACATTTTGAAGGAAACAACAATTAGCTAGACTAAGGTGAGAGAAGAAAGCTTGATAATACTTAATTGATTCATAAGTCATATTTTTATTTTAAAATTCGGAAGAAGAGAGTGAATTCAAATGACCAGAAACTCTTACTGTGCTATATAGAACAAGGAGGGTGGGTTTGAACTTCAAGGTTGGCAGTTCAAACTCACCAGTCACTCCTTGGAAACCCTATACAGGATCCCTATGAGTCAGAACTGACTCAATGGCACTTAACAACAACAACATAGAACATTCAGCATGGAGTGGAATTTAATGGGGTTCACGCTGGAAGATAATGTGAGTTTAATTTTGATAAATACAGTTTGAAACCATAAATGTGGACTCCTTGGGGTCCAAATGATGGAATAAAAATCACTTTTACCTGTATAAGGGAGGAAGGGTCCTGGAGGGGATGCTACAGAGGAAGAAGGCAGTATTCAGCTGGAAGATGTTTGAGGAGAAGACTCATGGGAGGTGAAGAATTAGGACATTTAGGGTATGGGGGACTTTCTTGAGAGAATGAATTTATAAACCAGAGACATGGACTTGAGTCACCTTTCCACTAGTATCCATGGATATTTCTGTCTTCATCACCTAAGTTGGTGGCTGCTGGAGCCACACTTTTTGCTCCTCTTACCTTGACTAGAAAAAAAAAAAAAATGTGATTACATTCTTTCAAAATATAAAGTTACAGCTGTGAGGAACACGCCTTTTCAAATCTGCCATATTGGAAAGGAATGTTAACTTCTCTTGAGGCCGTGCTAATGGGATGCGCTAAGTGTCTAGATAGCATAGTGGTTATGAATTGGGCTGCAGACCTCAAGATCAGCAGTTCGAAACTACCAGGTGTTCTGCAGGAGAAAGATGAGGTAAACACCCGTAAAGATGTGCAGCCTCGGAAACCCTGTGTAGGGTCACTATGAGTCGGAACCGGACTCCATGGTACTTAACAGCAAGCCTCTGGAAAAGGCATTCAGCTCCCATTGTCAGTGCAGCATAGCATGCTGGGACAGGGTGCTTTGTGTGGGCTGTTTACTTTCTGAGGATAAAGGACTATTCACAGTTTCTTGATTTATTCATAATACCACCTTTACAATCAGTCCCCATTTCATTTTTACATTCCATTTTCAAAAGAGCATTTAAAACATTTCCTAAGGATATCAGAATTGTTGCTAACATCTATAGATCAAATCTTAATATGTTATCATGAATTTAAATATAAAAATTAGCAGCTATTAGAAGTCATCAATTTCTAATAGCATTTATACATTATTTTCAAACGTATAAGTTAATTTTTTCGTCTATAATAACTTTTCAATTTATATTTTGAATTTAAAGTGTGTTTATTTAAAGAATGTTAAATCTAAGAAAAATGTGTAAAAAGTAGTGCATAAATAGGAAGTACCTGTCACTGATAAACTACATACATAAAATGTGATATCTTTGTTGTTGTTGTTGTTGTTGTTGTTGTTGTTGTTGTTAAGTGCCATTGAGTCGGTTCCAACCCATAGCGTTGGATAGGGTTTCCAAGGAGCAGCTGGTGATCTTGAACCGCTAACTTTGGACATATTAATTCGTATATTCATTCTAGAAATATTGCCTGAATGCCTATTGTGTGCAAGGCACTTGACTAGGTACTATGAAGTTAAATAAGGCACGATCCTGCCCTCAAGGAGCTTACAGACTAGTAGAGTTTTTCAAAAGACTGTGTAAGAAATGAGCTAAAGGTGATCTCTAATGCACAGAGGAGCGGATGCTTTTTGCTTTGAGTGTTAGTTTAGTTGTTTTGGCGAAAGCCTCGTTCTTTTCATAATACGCCGCCTCATTCACAAACACTGGGTACACGGTACAGTCTCCATCCAATGAAACAGTCTTTCCATCAAGAGTTAAAAACACAGGTGCCCCAGGGTGCAATGGTTTCCAGTCTTGATCCTTTCAGGAAACAATGAAAATAAATAAACAGCTTTGAGTTTTCTCCGAGTTTTAACATGCTATGTCAGACTCCAGACAATTAACAAATCATAGCGTTCTATTGTTTTAAAAAAAGGTACATGAGAGATGGGTTCAGAGGCATAGGAGTGACATGACTAAATTGAATTTGCGCAATGAATTTTGGCAGCATTTTAAAGTGTTCCCCTTTTAATTTTAGTATTGACACATATAATTAAAGTTTGCTTCAGTACCAGGTTTGCCTTCAACGTTGTCAAAGACAGTTATAATATTTGAGGGGAAAATATAAAATATTGAGGGGAAAATATAATATATGTCCCATATATTCTACCTCTTGCCAGTTGGAGCTAAATTATGTTCATTGAAATTTAGTAAATAATGATTAAGAGCACAAAAGTGTGCAGACACACTACTACTGGATCCTGAGTAATGTTGTCCACACACACATGTTTCTATTCTAATGAGAATTGGTGAGGGTGCGTGGGATGGGCTGCAAAAAAGTCTAAAACAGAGTGGAGCTTTTCCACGTGTTCCCCCCTCCCTCCTGCAACCGTATGAGAGCAGCTGAGGTATCTGAGAGGCCTGCACCAGGGATTTGAGCTCTCAGACATTAGCGTTGTCAGACTCCCAGAATCCTAGCACAGTTCTCAAACTCTGATATACTTGCAAATCATCTGAGGATTTTCTTTAAATGCAGATTCTGATTCTGTAGGTCTGGAGTGGGTACCTGAGAACCTGCATTTCCTAGTAGCATCGGCATCGCCTACAGACCCCCATGTAGGTCTGCTAAATCAAAATCTTCATATTAATAAACTCTCCAGAGAAGGTTTGAGAAGGACTCAAACTTCAATTCCCTCAAAATCTGCATATTGTAATCCCTTGGGTTGTTTGAAAATATAGATGGGTAGGGGGCTGACTCTATCCCAGATAAATCAATCAGATTATCAAGGGTAGAGTCCATGCATCATTATTTTAAAAATCTATTTAAAAATTTACATGCAGTAAAATTCACTCACTTTGGTGTATTTTGACAAATGCTAGCATATAGTCATATAACTGTACAGCCAAGAACAGTTCTACCACACACTTCCCTCCATGCTTTCATGCTCCCTATTTATTGGGGTCCTGGTGTGGCGCTACAGGATAATGCACTGGACTGCAAGATTGGTTTGAATCACATGATTGGCAGTTCAAACTCATCAGCTGCTCCTTGGAAACCCTATACAGGGTCACTGTGAGTTGGAACTGACTCAATGACACTTACCAACAACAACAATATTTATTGTTTACTGTTTTGTTTTTAAAGCTCTCCACTTGATTGTAAAGTTCAGAACTAGTGTTCCGGATCAGTGGGTCCAGTCAGATGTGCATCAGGAACAACACACAAATGGCTGGGGCCTGCCCTCATTTAAAAATTAAAATTTTTATTTTATTATTATTATTTTTGACATGTAAAAGTTTATTTTAAATAATGCTTCCTTTACGGATCTAAAACGAGCAGCAGAGAAAATTCTTCATTTTAAAAGCATTTTTTAAATGGTAAAAGAACCCATAAACATGAGTCCAACTTCCAACATGTAGATAAAGCTTCAGGCAGACACAGAACCAGACTTAGTAAAGTTGCTTCATCTTCCAGGATTTATAGCTTAGTCCCTACCCCATAAGGAGCTCTGGTAGTGCAGTGGTTATGAGTCGGGCTGCTAACCTCAAGATCAGCAGTTTGAAACTGCCAACCATTCCACGGGAGAAAGATGAGGCTTTCTGCTCCCATAAAGATTTACATCCTCGGAAACCCTATACAGGGTTGTTATGAGTCGGTACCGACTCCACGGCACACCACCACCACCACCCTACCCCATAAAATATTTACATATTCTGAAGGAGGTGTTTTTCTCAAATGGTACTCCTAGATGATATCCGTGTTTTCTGCTTTAGATGATTGTGGGTTTTTATTCTTCACTGAGTTTGGGATGCATAACTATTATTCATTTCTGTTTTTGACACAAATGTGAATAAAAACTGCCTTTTAATATATAGCATGATACTGGGATATGACCAATGAAATTTGAAGACAATGGTTCATAAGTCGCTGAACTTTCAATAAGAATACCTGACTGATGTTCATAAACTTTGATGTCACAAGAAGACAGAACATAGAAGAACTCGAAGAAATCCAACTGCACTCTGATTACAGGATATCTGGTTCATAGAATTTGTTTACTTGGGGAAACAGGTAATTCAAATAGGGTTTTCGTCTGCAAAGGTTTTTTTGATATAGGACAGTACTTCCTATACTTGAGTCTTGTGAAAACCACGTGACAAGCTTAAAACAATAACAAGGCACAACATCCTGTCTCCACCTTGTTGAATTAACCCAGAATTTCTGGAGGAGACCAGGAAATCAGGATTTTTTTTTTTTTTTTTCAAAGCTCCTCAGGTGATTTTCATGAGGCCTGAGTATGAAAAGCACTGATTTAGTAGGTTTGAGATAGATGCCAGGTTTTTTTTTTTTTGGAAAATCCCCTAGGTACTTCTAATTATCCCTGAATACCTTTGACTTGGTGCCAACAGTATCTGAACAAAATCTGGGCATCGGTGTCTCTGGCCCCAGGGTTTACTCTCCTCCCTGCTCATCCCCTATTCTCCATTGACAGGAGTCTTCCTACTGTTCCTCAAACATGCCAAGTTTGTTCCAGCCTTGGAGCGTTTGCACTAGTTTGTCCCAACAAGTTCTCTGGAGTTGCTCTGTGGTCCACATTCAGGATCTATTCTCTCCAACCCGGATCCTTGTTTTTTAAATTCACTAACCTTCATGAAGCCCCAGGCCATAAGGAGAAGTGTTGAGAGGCATATGAGTGGTCTGACTAATTAGAAATTCCTTGAGGAATACCATACTCAAGACATTCCAAGTGCAGTATCCGGTTATGATATTGTCACTTTGGCCTCTGTTTTGTGTGTTTGTTATTTTTGTCACCCTCTCTTTTTTCTTTCCCTCCCTTCTCTCCTTCAGTTTTTGTCTTCCCTGTCTTTAAAATACTGCATAAACTTTCTTCCCCAGGATTCCACCTGGATCCTACTATGTCACAAGGCAGAACTTGTCCTGTTAAGTAGGACATTAAGTTCGTAGGTTTATTCCACATGTGTATATAACATGTGGATTTTATATCCTTGAGGATTGTGTCATGTTTTCTTGTATGTCTTCCTGCAATGCTTGGCATGTATTTTGTACAAGAAAATGGCTTGGCTATAATGCTTACGTCTGATAGACAGAGCTCGGAAACTCTTTCAATGTCTCTGGATGGCTCGCATTGAAATGGGCCTTAAAGACAAACATTTCTCCAGAAGGGGATCACCAAATCTACTACTTTGGCCTCTCTCTTTGGCTACATCCGCTCTTAAACTTCAAAAAGGGGAAAGCAACAAGCATAGAAAGCCCTAAGGTCCCAGGCTGCTGGGCTATAATTAATGGCAGAGTCTTATGAGACCCACTAGAGAAGGGCTATCCTGTGACCCAAGGCTTCATGAAGGTTGGTGAATTTAAGGAGCAAGGGTCCCTGTTGGAGAGCATAGCTCCTGAAGGTGGATCATGGAGCAGTTCCACAAGTACTTGTTAGAACAAGCCAGGATGGAGGTATTATTACCATCCCTAGTGTTGCAGACCGTGAAGGCCTGGTCAGAGGTTCGAGGCCCTATAGGCCTGAGTGTTACAGGTCGCAGGCTCTGAGGAACAGATCTAGCCACCTGGCAGTTAATAACAAATTATTTTTCATCTTAGGGTCCAGTTATATTTATTAATTGCAGACATGGAGCCCTTGATATACACAGATAAATGTAATATTTTCCTAAAAGCCAAGACTGTAAAATTCCAAACAGGCAAAGTTCTTCCCTCAGAGAATTCATTCAAACTAAATTGGGTGGCTCCCTGGTCTGTTCCAAGGACAATAGGAATACCCTCCCTAAAGTGTTTCCAGGTGCTGCCTATTCACCCAGGCATCTCTTTTCCTGAAGAACCTGGGCTGGGCAGCCGACACAATAGGAATCCTCTCGATCCTCCCTTTCCTCCCTCCATTTGAGGCTAGGTGCTAAAAGGTATGTTAATTAAGCTTGAGAAACCAAGTTGCGATGAGATTCGAACCTTCAAAGTATGATGTAAAGTTGCCTGAATGTCTGGAAAAGTAAGATTGACAGCTGTACCTTGTCTTAGTCCCTCCTAGCTTTGTATAAAGTACCTCCCCTAAATAAAAGGAGGCACAGAACGAATCCAGGTGCATTACGACTGGCAAGGCGTGCGTTAGAGCATGCAGGGGGCTCAGTCCAGCCTTGCAACCATACTGCCTGTTTAGCTAAGATGTTTACTATGCAGGATATTACAGCCTTTGTGGCTGAGATGTTTGCAATGCAGGATCTGCCTGATGCCAGTCTAGCATTCACTCTGGTTTCAGAGTGTCTCTTTGTCTCTCTCTTTGCGTCTCTGTGTCTCTTTTGCTATCTCTATCGCCACCAGGTATCTCCACCTCGTGAACCGAACCCCTATGTCGAGGCCAGTCCCCGACACCCTAGTTGCTAACAGCATACTTGGTGATGGCCTATAATAGTACTGATGCCCATATCCAAACTGCTGATGATGCAAATCAGGGACAAATGGCAAAGTGTGTGGCAACAGAATCAAGAGAAAAGAGACTGTGATCTTGGGATACATGACGTATATTTTAACTTTTTGGAATCTTTCCTCCTCCCTTTGCCTTTTCCAGATTTAGATGTCCTACACTCTCCCATGGAGTCCTGGTGTGGTGCTGAGGGTTAATGCGCTGGGCTGCAAAGTAGTTTGAATTGCAAGGTTGGCAGTTCAAGCTCACCAGCTGCTCCTTGGAAATCCTATGCAGGGTCGCTGTGGGCCGGAACTGACTCAACGGCACTTAACAACAACAACACTCTCCCATATGCAATAGTGCATTATGAGTTGGGTTGCTAACTGTAAGGTCAGCAGTTCGAATCCACCAGTCACTCCATGGGAGAAAGATGAGGCTTTCTGTTCCTGTAAAGACTCATAGCCTCTGAAACCCTACACAGAGTTACTATGAGTTGGAACAAACTCAAGGACACACAACAACAACACTTTCTCAACTTTCTCAAGAGACAAAGCTTCTTCCTCTTTTACCATACCAATAAGAAATAGGGTGATCAAACCAGGCAAGAGGTAGATATTGAAGTTCTAAGGAGAGTTAGAGAATGGTGGCAGACAACCTTTCAAAAAAGGAGTTTCTGATTATATTTGTTCTAACTTTGTGGTGATCATAAAGAGGAAACAATAATGTGGTTAACTCAAAAGAGGAAACAATAATGTGGTTAACTGCAAAGACCATTAGATCTGGGTCTGCCACTGATAGCTATGTGACTGTGGGGAGGATCTCTGTTTCCTTACAACAAAATATATATAATAATTCTTACTCATTATACTTGTGTAGGGATTTCACCCTTTCTGAAAGACCTTGTTTACCCACTCCCTCCCACAACCTCATTATTCTGTTATAGTAGTTGGTAGCTTATCTTCCTCTGTAGACCACAGTTTAGCCTTTAGTGTATATATTAGGTTCCATAAGAACATATAGACCACAGTATTGATCACATTCATTCATGTATTCCCACACCCCAGTATAGGATATACTCAATAAATGTTTATTGACTGAAGGTCTGAGTACCTTTACTCAATAATCTGAAAACATGACTATGTTTTGATAGTATCAAATGAGTTAGTAGATGTACAATACTTTATAAACTGTAGAGCTTGATTCAAAGATAGGACATCATTATTTTTAATATCTTAAAGAAGTAGTAAATGTTACCTGCAGATTAGGATGAATAAAAGCAACAATTTCTCCACTTTCATCTCGGGGATAATTAACTCTCTCCACTATTTTATAGACCTCAATAGCACAGGAAGGAAATTCTTTTCCTACGGCAAAAAGAAAAAAGGATAAACAGTAACTAAAAAGAGGAAGTTTATACTTCAAGGAAGGACAACCCTCCCCCTGTAAAAATAAGACAAATGGTTACAGAGAGACTACACCACATCTAGTTAAGAATTTCCATAAACAACATTAAACAGTAGATGTTGTTGAACTGTTTCTATTGGCAGCTGTCGACAAATATGCCAACAGGCAGAGGTAGAAAACAGACTTTAAAAAGACAGTATGGGAGGAAAAGAACATCAGACAGGATACCAGGACTCCTGTGTTCTAAGCTCCTTGCTGTGTGACCTTGATCAAGATGTTGAGCTTCTTGAGGCTCACTTTCTTTAATTGTCAGAGGACAGTTCAAAGTGACCTTATCTAAGAATTATAATACAATGTGCGAAGACCTGGAGTCAGAAAACCAAAAGGAAGGAACATGTTCAGCATTTCTCAAGTTGAAAGAACTTAAGAAAAAGTTCGAACCACACAGAGAGTCACCATAACAGAAAGAAATGGTCAATGGTAAGCCATTTCAAGAGGTAGCATATGATGAAGAGGCAAGGCACTGAAGGAAGACGTCCAAGCTGCACTGAAGACGTTAGCAAAGAACAAGGCTCTGGAATTGATGGCATACAAATTGAAATCTTTCAACAAACTGATGAAATACTGGAAGCTCTTGCTCATCTATGCCAAGAAATTTGGAAGACAACTACCTGGCCAAATGATTGGAAGAGATTTATATTTGAGCCCATTCCAAAGAGAAGTGATCCAATGGAATGCGGAAATCATCAGACAATATCATTAATATCATATGCAAGTAAAATTGAGCTAAAGATAATTTTTAAAAGGCTGTAACAGTACATTGACAGGGAACTGTAAGAGGTCCAAGCTAGATTCAGATGAGACCGTGGAATGAGGGATATCATTGTTGATGTCAGATGGAATTTGGCTGAAAGCAGAGAATACCTGTGCTTTATTGACTATGCAAAGGCTTTCGATTATGTGGACTATGGCAAGCTATGGATAATGCTGGGAAGAATGAGTATTCCAGAACACTTAATTGTGCTATGAGGAACCTGTACACTGACCAAGAAGCAATTATTCCAACAGAACAAAGGAATAACTAATGGTTTAAAATCAGGAAAGGTGTGTGCCGGGGTTGTATTCTTTCACCATACTTATTCAGTTTGTATACTGAGATTAGTTAATCTGAGTAGCTGGATTATATGAAGTAACTCAGATTAGTTAATCTGAGAAGCTGGATTATATGAAGAAGAGCATAGCATCAGTATTGGAGGACGACTCAATAACAACCTGTGATATGCAAATGATAGAACCTTGCTTGCTAAAAGTGAGGAGGACTTAAAATACTGGTGAAGATCAAAGGCCTCAACCTTCAGTATGGGTTGCACCTCAATGCAAAGAAAACAAAACTCCTCACCACTAGACCAATAGATATTATCATGATAAATGAAAAAAAAAAGATTGAAGTTCCCAAAGCCTCATTTTGCTTGGTTCAACATTCATGAAAACAACAATCAAGAAATCAAATGACATATTGCGTTAGGCAAATCTGCTGCACAAGACCTCTTAAACGTGTTAAAGAGCAAAATGTCAGTTTGAGAACTAAGGTGCACCTTCCCCAAGTCATGGTATTTTCAATAACCTCATATGTATGTGAAAGTTGGACAATGAATAAGGAAGACCGTAGAAAAATTGATGCATTTGAGCTATATTTTTGGAGAAGAATTTTAAATGTACCATAGACTGCCAGAAGAACAAACAAATCTGTGTTGGAAGAAGTTCAGCCAGAATGCTCCTTAGAAGCCAGGATGGCCAGATTTTGTCTTTCATACTTTGGACGTATTATCAGGGGAGCCCAGTCAGATAAAGCGGACTGTCAGTGAAAAAAGAGGCAGAACCCTAATGAGATGGATCGGCACAGTGGGAACAGCAGTGGTTTCAAAGGTAATAATTGTGAGGATGGTGGCAGATCAGGGCAGTGTTTTGTTCTGTTGTTTATATGGGTCTTTATGAGTTAGATCGGACTCAACGGCACCTAACTACAATAAGGGCAGGAAAGCCCTTCAGGTTTTGGCATTCTATGACTGCATATTTTCAGGACAATTTCCAGCAAGTTAGGTGACATCAGCAGAGTGATCTTTCACTTTAACCAGGTACATCAAACACCTGGTTTATTACTGAGCAGGGAGATTATGGGGTGCAGAGAGACTGCCAACAGTGGAGCCCAGCTTCTAAGATGCAGCAACAACCCAGCATTCAGAAACTTGGAAAAGGAACATTTTGCATCTGTATCAGACAATTGCTGAGAACATGGGTCACACCTTTCTTCAATAGGAGTTGTATACTGTGTAATGGTCCCAACCCTTTGCCCTTACGGCAGAAAGCTCAGTCAGAGCCCGAATGGGGATACTCCTTGATGCTTTCTGCATCAATTAGCTTTCTCTCTCTGCATAATGCTTTAGGATTTAGTGGTTGGAAACAACATCTAAATCATGTAGATCATGTAGGTTGGATAGATAGATAGTTCCTCTTGTCTGGCTTGGCTTGGCTAATTTCTGCTTGGCTTGCTCATGTACTTGTGGTGAGCTGGCAAGTCGGTGGGCGGGTGCTAGATAATCTCAGATGACCTTAATTTTGTGTGTAGCATTTGACAGGCAGCCAGTTGGTGCTGTCTGCTATTGGCTAGGGTATCTGACTTCTGTGTTTCATAGCCTATTAATTTACAGCTATTGTGTCATCAAGTTGATTTTGACTCATCCTGCACCAGCCTCACAATTTTTATTATGTTTGAATCCATTGTTGCTGCCACTGTGAGGATCCATCTTGTTAGGAATCATCCTCCTTTTTATTGATCCTCCACTTTACCAAGCATGATGTCCTTTTCCAATGACTGGTCGCTCCTGACTACACATCCAAGTACAAGAGATGAAGTCTTATCATCCTCCTTTCTAAGAAACACTCTGGCTGTACTTCCAACACAGATCTGTTGGTTTTTCTGGCAGTCCATGGTACTTTCAGTATTCTTCACCAACACCATAATTCAAATACAAGAATTCTTCTACAGTCTGTCCTATTCATTATCCAACATTCACATGCACATGAGGCAACTGAACATATCATGGCTTGGATCAGGGTGCATTTTAGTCCTCAAATTGACATCTTTGCTCTTTAACACTTAAAAAAAAAAACACTTTTGCAGCAGATTGACCCAATGTAATAAATACATCGTTTGATTTATTGACTGCTGCTTCTATGAGAGTTGATGTGGATCCAAGCAAAATGAAATCTTTGACAACTTCAATCTTTTCATTTATTATATTACTTATTGGTTCAGTTGTGAGGATTTTTGTTTTCTTTACATTGAGGTGTAATCTATACTGAAGGCTGTAGTCGTTGCTCTTCATCGTCTTTTTTACTTCCAGCAAGCAAAGTTGTGTCACCTACATATCAGAGGTTGTTATGAGTCTTCCTCTAATCCTCATGCTCCGTCCTTCTTCATATAATCCAACTTCTTGAATTATTTGCTCAGTGTACAGATTGAATAAGTATGGTGACAGGATATAACACTGGCACACAATTCTCATGATTTTAAACCATCCGGCATCCCCTTGTTCTGTTTGATCTGTTTGTTCTCTTGGTCTATGTATAGGTTCCTCATGAGCACAAAGAATTCCCATTCTTGCAATGCTGTCCATAGTTTGTTATGACCCACAGAGTTGAATGCTTTTGAATAGTCTAATAAAGCACAAGTAAGCATCTTTCTGGTATTCTTTGCTTTCAGCCAAGATCCATTTGATGTCAGCAGTGATAACCCTTTTTCTATGTCTTTTTTGAATCTGGCTTGAATTATTAGCAGCTCCTGATAGATGTACTATTGCAATCGCTTTTGAATTATCTTCAGTAAAATTTTACTTGCATGTGATATTGTTAGATGATTTCTGCGTTCTTTTGCATCATCTTTCCCTGGAATGGGAACAAATATGGATTGCTTCCAATTTGTTGGCCAGGTTGCTATCTTCCAAACTTGTTGGCATGGATAAGTAAGCACCTCCAAGGTTGCATCAATTTTCAGAAACATTTAAATTTGTATCCCTGAAACCTTGTTTTTCGCCAATGCCTTTGGTACAGCATGGGAATCTGTGGGACATGACTTGAAAATTGTTTCTCTACTCAGGTTTGTGACCTTTTGCCAGTGTTTTCTTTCTAATATACTTAATTCAACATTTAATATTCAAAGGGTTACTTTTGGATATGGTATGACCTTCCCAACACCAGTTACATTAGAAAGTGTAAAAACCTGCTTTCAGACAAGAGGTGGATGGAAAGCTAGTTCTTAGTTTTCATGACTGGAGTCAAAGAAACATCAAACACAGAAGAAATGTCTGATTGCATTAGGGTGCACAATCTGAGGTTAACGCTCTGAGACGGGGGAAACAGGGTCCAGACATCAGGATTATACACGGGCCCTTTATTAACTGAAATCTTGTGACTAAAATCCTGAGGAATGTTGAAGCCTGCTTCCCTCATTACTTGAGAAATTGTACAGATGCACAGGAAATGCCCAGAGTGTATAACTTAGCAGTCACATGCCATCCTGGGACATGCCATTAAGAAAGACCACCCATAAAAATTCCATATTTTTTGTGACTTGCCCTTAAGGAAGACCACTCCTAAAAATTCTGTCCACTTCCTTGTGAGAAATTTTACAGGTTGGACTGGTTTACTTAGTGCTCTAGGCATAACTTTAAGGGACAAACCTTCTACTGGAGCAAAGTAGAATGACAGCCCCTGGAAGGGGTCTTAGTTCAAATCTGGAAGAACAACATTGGTTTGGCATCTCAGAATAAGTTATGTCTGCTCCTACCAGAGAGGTCTTTGTGGTGTAATCCATCGTAAAGAAATGCTGCACACGAACCCAATTAGCAGGGCTCCACCTAAAAGTAACATTTCCCAGAAATATCCACCAATCCTTATGAGCAAACATAGTTCTTTTACCTACCCCATAGCTTTTAAACCCCAGCAAAGCCTTGGTTCAGGGAGATGGGGCTTAAGCATTGTGTTAAGCCCTCCCCATCTCAGTTTACAAGCCTCTTATCTATGATAAACTTATGCTCCTATGGAAACTGCCTCACCTGACTATTCTTAATCAGTAGATGGCAAGAGGCCTCTGTTGAAGGGAAGAGATGTGGTTGGCACTCCCTGTAATAGTTCCAACAGACATTAACCTATATACCAGGTCTGTCACTGTAATTACCCACCCTTCAACAATTTCTTTCTTTCCTTCTTTTTAAAAACTTTTCATTGTGAATCAGGTGAAGGTTTACAAAGCAAATCAGTTTTCTATTCAACAATCCCCACAATGTAACCTTATTTATCCCACTTCCTCCCTGTGTTTCCTGTCTCCCTTCCTCTATTCCTAACCCTTTTGAACTTTGCCTTTTGGTAAATGCTACCCTTTTGATTTTAACAATTTCAAGTCAGTGGTTTAAAGTAAAAAATTTTAAGTAGAGTGTCTCTTTGATTTTATTTTATTTTTTTTAAGTTCACCATTAGATTTCTAAAATAATCTTATTTAATTGTCTTTTAGGTGAAAATTTCCACAGATAATTAAGTTCCCATTTAACCACTTTTATACAAATTTTCCATGACATTGGATCCAATTTCCACAATGTGGTATCATGCTTTGTTTGTTGTTTTCATTGTCCTAGCTTCCTTTCCCCTCTTTGCCTTCTCATCTTTGCTTTTGAGTAAAGGTTGACCATTTGGTCTAACAGGTGATTATTTAAGGGAGTACATTACTCACAAATGATAGTTTATTTTATAAGCCAAACTACTATTTGGCTGAAAGATGACCTCCAGGAATAGCTTCAGTTCCTAGTTCAAAGGCTATTTTAGGGAGATAAACTTTGGGGTTCTTGTAGTCTCTATCAGTCCAGTAAGTCTGGCCTTTTTTAGGAATTTGAATTTTTTTTCTACATTTTTCTTCCATTGTACCAAGGACATTCTGTTGTGCCTTAGTCAGAATGGTTAGTAGTGGTAGCTGGGCACCATCTAGCTCTTTTGGTCTCAGGTTAGAAGAGGCAATGGTTTGTGTCGGCTACTTTCTTCTTTGAGACTTTGGTTTCTTTTTTTCTCTTTTGCTCCATAGGGGTAGAGACCAATAGTTGTGTCTTTGCTGCCTGGCTGCTCACAAGCTTTTAAGTACCCAAACACTACTCACCAAACTAGCTTGCAGAATATTATCTTTATAAACTGTGTTATACCAATTGACTAAATTATCCCCTGAGACTATAGTTGGGAGAACCACTATTTGAGCCACTGAGTTTACATCTCTTAGACCAATCTCACGAGTTGTTTGGATGTGTCTAGGAAGATTTCATAATTGTATTTCGTATGTACTTTGTTATATGGTGGTGGTGTGCCATGGAGTCGGTTCTGACTCATAGTGACCCTATATAGGGTTTCTGAGGCTGTAAATCTTTATGGGAGCAGAAAGCTTCATCTTATTCTGGTGGAATGTCTGGTAGTTTCAAACAGCTGACCTTGAGATTAGCAGCCCAATTAGTAACCACTACACTACCAGTTATATATGTGTGGATATATATGCAGTACACACAGACATGTATGTATAATGCCTACAGATTCACCTATACATGCACAGCCGTTTACTTGTATATTGACATACGTTTTGCTACTGTGGGCCATCGAGTTGCTTCCTACTCATAGAGACACTGTATAAGGTTTCTGAGGCTGTAAATCTTTATGGCAGCAGAAAGCTCTCTTTCTCTCAAGGAGCAGTTGGTGGAATCAAACCTTGTACCTTGTAGTTAACAGCCCAATGAATAACCCCACTATGAGACCAGGGTTCCCATACACATATATGTATATATCTGCATTACCTATAGAGTCCTATAGGTAACCAAGATGCTGTAGAACAACCTCTGGTCTGCTAACTGCTAGATCGGCAGTTCAAACCCACCAGCTACTCCTTGAAAACCTTATACAGGGTTACTATGAATCAGCACCAACTCAACAGCACTTAACAACAACAACCTATGTTAGTTACCACACACAATTTTTTAAAAATGTTGCCACTGTTGTAAAATTGTATATGTTATAGCAGTTACTGAAATTGTTCCTTTTTCATATGTACTTCTTAGCGTCTTTATTTACCTTTACCAAATTGTGCTGACTTCATCCATATTTGGTATTGCCTTTCACTTCACCCAAGATAACAAGTGTCCGTCCACTATACAGAAAGTGATTTCCTCTCTCTTGGGTCCTACTCATAGCGACCCTGTATAGAGTTTCCAAGAAATTACTGGTGGGTTTGAACTCAAACTTGCAGTTAGCAATCCAGAGCTTATCGACAGCACCATTCCTAGTAACCTAGTGACCACCAAACAACATATCTATTCTTGAATTTTTATAATACTCTGGTAGCGTAATGGTTACGAATTGGGCTGCTAATCTCAAGGTCAGAAGTTTGAAACTACCAGTGGTTCTGCAGGAGAAAGATGAGGCTTTCTGCTCCTGTAAAGATTTACAGCTTCGGAAACCTGGTACAGGGTTGCTATGGGTCAGAATCAACTCAACAGCACTTAACAGCAAGGGTCATACGTTTGTCCTTTTGTAATTAACTTATTTCACTCGGCATGTTGTTTCCGAGGAGCAGCTAGTGGGTTTGAATCACTAGTCTTGAGGTTGGTAGTCCAGTGCTTATCCTATAGTGCCATAATGTCATTCAAATTTATGTATGTTATATTTTGTGAACTCCTCATTGATGGACATTTGTTTTCATCTTTTTGATACTGAGAATATTGCTGCAGTGAAATAGGTATGCATATGGTTTCTAAGGCTGTAAATCTCATTGGGAGCAGAAAGCTCATCTTTCTCCCAAGGAGCAGTTGGGAGAACCACTATTTGTGCAACTGATCTTACATCTCTTAGGTATATACCTAGGAGTGGGATGTTGCTTCATAAGATATTTCTATTTCTAGCTTTTTTGGGAGGCATCATACCATTTTGTCAGCTGTGTGACATTTTTACAATCCCATCAGCAATGAATAAGAGGTCCAGTCTCCCCACAACCTTGCCAGTCTTTTTGTTTTCTGTGTGTCTGTGTTCTTAAATCTTTGTCAGTGTGAGATGGCATCTCACTGTAGTTTTGATTTGCATTCCTCTAATGGAGATCTGGTAGCGTAGTGGTTACGAATCGGGCTGCGAACCTTAAGGTCAGTGGTTCGAAACTACCAGCCGCTCCGCGGGAGAAAGATGAGGCTTTCTACTCCCATAAAGATTTACACCCTCGGAAACCCTGTACAGGGTCGCTATGGGTCGGAACCGACTCAACGGCACTTAACAAAACAAAACAAAAACAAAATGGAGTCCTGGTAGCATAGTGGTTATGAATAGGGCTGTGAATCGCAAGGTCAGCAGTTCAAACTTACCAGCCGCTCCTTGGAAATCCTATGCAGGGTTACTATGAGTGGGAACTGATGTGACAGCATTTAACAACAAATAAGATTCCTCTCTAAAGTGTCTTTAAAAAATTTTGATGACACAATGCTTAAGCATTCTGCTGCTTACTGAATGGTTTGCAGTTTTGAGTCCACCAGCCATTCTACAGGAGAAAGACCTGTTGATCTGCTCCCATGAAGGTACAGTCTGGTTGTAAATCTTTACGAGAGCAGAAAGCCTCATCTTTCTCCCATGGAGCAACTAGTAGTTTCGAACTGCTGATTTTGAGGTTAGCAGCCTGACTCGTAACCACTACGCTACCATCTAGGAAACCCTATTTGGCAGTTCTACCCTGAACTCATATAGTGTCATTATGAGTTGGAACTGACCTGATAGCATGCAGCAAGCAAAGTGTCTATACCAATTTATATTTTCACTCACAAAGAGTGAGTGTATTCTCTTTTTCTACATCATCACCCACACTTAACATAATTCAAATTTCATATTTTCCAAATCTAATGTAGGAAAATTGTTTTTCATTTTAATTTGCATTTCTCTAATTGCTAGTGATGTTCAATATCTTTTTATGCAAGAGAGGGCTTCAAAAAGTTTGTGGAAAAATTCCATTATCTTTTCATTCCATTTTGCCCACAGACTTTTTGAGGCCCACTCATATTTATCAGACATTTGCATTTCTCAGACTTTCTTTGCTTTTTTAAAGTGAGATTAATGGGAAGATAAGGTTTTGATATGGGGAACATTATCTGGTGGCTGCTTTTCTTAAAGATGTCTATTATGGTCATTGCAGAATAGCTGAAGTAAATATAAAATTTAACAGGCATTTAAGATCATGGTGTGGTGTTGTAGGATAAGCACTGGACTGCAAGTTTGGCTTGAACTGCAAGGTCAGCAGTTCAAACTCACCCGTGGCTCCTTGGAAATCCTATACAGTCTCTATGAGTTGGACCCAACTTGATGACACTTGACAGCAACAACAAAAGTCATGAGCATGGTGAATTTGATCTGGGATGTAGCTGTTATTTCAATGTTTCTGGGTTAAGACATTATGTGCCCTCATCTCATCTCTCTTTTCTATTTGTTCATACATTTATGTACATGAACCAACAACTAAGGGAAAATTCCCACAATTACTTACCTTCATTGAAATGTTGTATAAAATCAAGAGCATGTTTAATCATTTTTCTCATTTGATCCAAAATATCAGCTCTCAGAACCCCTTGAGGCTGGGGGCCAACTTCTATACCTATGTATAGAATGGGAAACTGTCACATTTATATAAGTATTAGAATATAGTGTAAATGAGCATTTTAATACATGAAGATTTAGAATCTTATCATTAAAAATTATTTAAAAGGTAGACCTGTAGCATCATGGAAAATGTTTAAAACAGAATGTTATGGAAAATATAAAGCACAACATTTGCATGTACAAATTATATGCATGATAAATAAAGACTGGGAGAGAACATGAAAAAAAAATCTAAGAATTGTGTTAAAGTAGAAAAACAATTACGTCTTTTTTCTCTTAAATTTTATTCAATATTGTCAAAATATTTAAAAGATGAAATATAATAAAAGAGGTAGACAAGTTTATACAGACAAAATAGTAAGTGGTTTTAAAGAAAAATGGTCATAGATAGGTTTGATGAGAGGAAGAAAGAACATCCATTTAGTTGTTGTTGTTGTTAGGTGCCATCGAGTTGGTACCGACTCATAGTGACCCTATGCACAACAGAACAAAACACTGCCTGGTGTCCTGCCAACCTCACAATTGTTGTCACGCTTGAGCCCTGATGCCAATCCATCTCGCTGGGGGGTCTTCCTCTTTTTCTCTGACCCTCCACCTTATCAAACATGATATCCTTCTCCAGTGACTGGTCTCTTCTGACAATATGTCCGAAGTATGAGAGACAAAGTCTGGCCATCCTGGCCTCCAAGGAGCACTCTGGCTTCACTTCTTATAACACAGATCTATTTGTTCTTTTGGCAGCCCATGGCACATTCAATATTCTCCTCCAACACCATAATTCAAAAGCATCAATTCTATAATCTTCCTTATTCACTGTCCAGCTTTCACATGCATATGAGGTTATTGAAAATACAATGGCTTGGGTCAGGCGCACCTTAATCCTCAAGCTGACATCTTTGCTCTTCAACACTTTAAAAAGGTCTTGTGCAGCAGATTTGCCTAATGCAATACATTTTTTGATTTCTTGACTGCTGCTTCCATGAGTGTTGATGGTTGATTCCAAGAGGAATGAAGTCCTTGACAACTTCAATCTTTTCTCCATTGATAAGAATGTTGTTTATTGGTCCAGTAGTGAGGATTTTTGTTTTCTTTACATTGAGATGCAATCCATACCAAGTTAGGAAACTATTTATATTTAAGTCAGTATAACAATCCATGTGTCCCCACAACAGCATTTTTGTTTTTAACATAACAGACCATCCTAACACAATAGTGCAATGTTTTAATTTTCTGTAGAAAACAAAGTGCATCGATTTCTTCTTACCCCAATACAACTATGTCTGTACTATCAGAACTACCTCCTACGGCTTGTCAGGCAGCCATCGTTTTTAGCAATTAAAAAAAAAAAAATCATGTGACTTGATTTATTGTAATGGTCTGGAAACTCTTTTTCTAAACCATTTATCTAGTATCCTCTTTCCTGTTTAAGTTTTCTACACACTTGTCCCTTCAATCTTCACTCTTTTTCAAGGATGTTTGTATCGTCATCAGTCTTGGAAGATAGAGACAGAATCTTCCTAGAAACAAAGGGGGCAGGTGTGCCTACTGCCTATTCTAGAAGATTCTAGTTACCTTAGCTGTCTTTGCCCCTGGGATGCAACTACTGACATGAATAGCTGCTATCTGACCCTTTTCACATCCTCTGTGAAATTGGGGCTTAGGAACCAGCACAGAGAAATGGTGTTACTCTGCTACTGCTGTTGTTAATAAACTATTACTTGTGCCTGACCTAGAAGTCTTGTATCTTCTACCATCATCCACAAAACAGTGACAAATTAACTTTAGCTTTTAGGTAGGTTAAAATCTCAGATTATTTACAGTGTTTGAAAAGGAGAAAGCCAGAAAGCCCATTAATTCCATAGTCCTCTGGGAATACAAGTACTTTGGAGCAACAGAGCCACTGCTTGTCTGCCCCAATCAAACCTGACCACTCTCTGAATAAGATATGAATAACTCTGTACGCATTACCAAAGTTAGATGACTAATATTTTATATACAGACATACTTTATTTTATTGCGTTTTGTTACAAACTGAAGGTTTGTGGTAACCCTGCGTCGAGCAAGTCTATAGTTGTCATTTTCCTAATAGCATGTGCTCATTTTGTGCCTCTGAGTCATATTTTGGTAGTTCTTATAGTATTTCTAACTTTTTCATAATACTATTGCACATTTAGCAGAATACTGTCTATTGTATACATAACTTTTATATGCATTGGAAACCCAACACAATCATATGACTTTCTGTCACAATTATTCACTTCATTGTGGTGGTCTAGAACCAAACCAGCAATATCTGCACAGTCATAGTTATAGGGAACTATGTGATAGAGAATGTTTGTATACATCTATGTGGGCTGTGTGATTAAAACTGTGGTTAACAATCACAAGTTTTAATTGTGTACTCACTAGAAATTTCAACTAATACTTATTAAACATACTAATAGACTTCTAAAGGAGCAGGGGACAGAGAACTCTATGTTACTGGAGATTTCAGTGTAGCAGGCATGACGTTCCATCAACCAGGAGCTTGGAGGCCATTGTATATGATAGTCTGTTTGCTTCAAAGTATTGTCTGAGGATTAGGCCTGGATCATTAAGTGTTAAGAGAAATTTATGGAGTAATTGATTCTTTCTGGAGTGGAGTCAGGGAAGACGCTATAGAAGGTGACTTTTGAACAGGACCTTGAGAATGAGAAGGATTCTGCGAGACTAATTTGGAAGGACTGAGCATAACAAGCAAAGCAAACAATAGGAACAAAAATAAAAACTGCTTAACGAAATTGAGGAAATGTAGAATAGTTAGATTGCTTGCCTGCCTGGGTTAATACGCTTATTACTTGAAAGTTACAATCCATAATAATCTGCAAGACATCTATTAACGTTCTTTAAAAATAATTTTCTTGTTGTTTCAGCTAGAACATATTTTGGTCAATGATGACAATGGGAAATACGACTTACCAACTGGATATTTGGCTACAGAGCGAGTGGTTGCATATTTGAGGGAAGGGTGCTCAATAAGGTAAACATAGCAGGGTAATGGAGCCAAAGAACTCTGAAAAGAATATAAGACAGCTTTCTTATTATGTAAAGACCATATGTTTTCTACTCTTTGCTGTTACAGATTCAAAAGTACTTTAAATATGTTTTGCTTCATCAACTAAGATTAGTAAAACAGCTTTATGAAATGTACTTTAAAACCCAATACTATTATAGTTTTTAAAATGTAAATTAATTACATATAGAATCAAATTACCCATAGCTTTCTGGGTAAAATATACATTAAGTAATTCTCCAAAACCATGATTAAAGAAAATGAAATAAATTTTCCTTCTAAAAGGATTTGATTATTTTTGTTTTCATCACTGGTGATACTATTTAGCTTAGTATTGGTCTGTTAAAGACTTCTGTTTCTATCCCTGTTGTCCAGTTCTCTACACATGTTGAGTGATCCCCCACCCCTTATCTGAATGAGGATTCAAGCCAGGCTTTGATAAGCTTGGTGCTTTTCTGCATCTGGCAACCAAAGCATTCAGCTATCCCTTCAATGATTAAAAAAGAATAGCTTCATTATGTTCTGTAAGAACTACTACACAGCGACTGTCAAAAACTCAAGTTAAACCAAAGTAACAGTCACTTAATGTCACTTAACAACAACAACAAAACCTTTACAATCTGCTAGGTATTAACTACTTTGCCCCACTGAAGACTTTTAACAGTCATATGATTCATATGGAAGATTGTTATTATGCAAATTTTATGAAATAAGGAAAGCAAGATTTTGGGAGGTGAGTATCTTGTTCAAGGTTAGTGAATGATAAAGTCAACTTTAGAACCCAGTTCTTCTTGGCTACACAGGACAAGCTCTATTAAGACAAACTGTCTCTCAGGAAGGACAGATAGCCATTCTACAGAAGTAAACACGCAATTTGTTATTTGTGTTTCTTGTAGGAACTTTTTTTTCTGGCTACAGATGACTCACTAGTTTGCTGAAATTTTCATTCTATAGGTTTCTGAGCCTTGAAATGATTAGCTGTATGAAGTGCTGAAAGATCAGATGTATCTGAATAAAGTGGGGGCAAGAGCAGAACAAAAGGGAGGCAACGTTTTTAACACTGGACTTTAGTCAACATTATATGACTAATCCATGAGCTGCCTAAAATTCAACTACTTCAACCACGCTTTTTAAATTTGGTATTAATTTTGCTTGGTTTTACTAAATAGCCCATAATTTGGTAGTCATCTGGATTAAAGATTTATGGCTTTATATATACAAGTAGCCACAAGTATTTTATTATTATATTCATGGAATTTATTCCTTTACTCATTCCCTTTCTCCTGTCACTGTTCCTTGTATATTCTGGTACCATAATTTCTCTCCCATTTCTCTTGGGCCCTCCCTCCTGACCCTTTTCTGCTTGTTTCACATTTTGAATTCACTTTAAAGTATAGATCCTATGCTAATTTATAAATTAATCACAACAGCATTACCTTAATGTAATGAAACATCTGAATTAAAAAGTCATTCTTGGAATCTTCAAGAATAAGAGTGCACCCCATATTAGACGTAGTATTGTGAAGGTCAAAAATAATGTCATAGGAGTCGTCACTATCTTTTGGACCAAATAAGTTATTTATTTCTTGAGCCCTTCTTACTTCATATGGCAAATCCTCTGACCTATTTTTGCTGTTATTAGCAGAAAGAAAAAGATGAACAACATCTGTGTCTGAGATAATATAAATATATAATGAAAAAACAGTGTACAGAGAATCAGTTGCCAAACCTTTAATATGAGAAATCTGTGAGAGAAGTGAAACCATATGAAGCTTTATAAGTAAAAAAATCAAATCCCCCCCCCTCCATTTGCTTCTCTATAAATCATGTTGCATTAGCATGCTGGCAAAATAATAGTTTGTTGATATGGCTGGTTGTAGGGTAGAACATTTCAAATAGAATCCATCATTTCAATGCAACTTTGTATAACTTAATAAATGGTTTTGAGCACTTAATTATGGTACACTGGGCTATTTATTATGGAGCTAGGTCATCAAACTTCTTTTATTTTTGGCACTCTAATTAATTCCAGTGCACAAAAATAGTCACACTTTGGTGATTACCTCTTCTAATTAGGGATTATTAATTGAGATCCAGGAACCACCGGTGTGTAAACCCTCCCAAGTTGCAAAATTCTCTATATATTTGCATATATGCATTTTTCTGAGATGAGAGTTCATAGTTTATATTGAATTCTCAAATAGGTCTCTATCTGACTCCACTCTATCCCCATCAAATACTGTTTTTTTTTTTGTGGTTGTTGTTAAGTGCCATCGAGTTGGGGTCTCTATCTGACTCCACTCTATCCCCATCAAATACTGTTTTTTTTTTTGTGGTTGTTGTTAAGTGCCATCGAGTTGGTTCCGACCCATAGTGATCCTGTATAGGGTGTCTGAGGAGCAGTTGGTGAGCTTGAATCACTGACCTTAGAGTTCAAACCAACTTTGCAGTCCAACACATTAACTCACAGCATCACACCATCACATACAGTTAAGATACATTTTTTTCTTGCTTTATATGATTATAATTTAAATTTATTGAGTTGATTCTGACTCAGAGCAACCATATGTACAACAGAACAAAACACTGCCCAGTCCTGTGCCATCCTCACAATGGTTACTATGCTGTGGCCACTGTGCCAATTCATCTTGTTGGGGGTCTTCCTCTTTTTTGCTGATCCCCATTTTATTAAGCATGATGTCCTTCTCCAGGGACTGATCCCTCCTGACAATATGTACAAAGTATTGTTGTTGTTGTTGTTAAGTGCCGTCGAGTCGGTTCCGACCCATAGCGACCCTGTACAGGGTTTCCGAGGGTGTAAATCTTTACGG